ACGTCCATCAGTTACTAATGAATGATGGTTTTTAGAAGACTATTTTATGCTATTCGGTAAACATAAGGACAGAATAGTTATTGAAATTCCAGTTGATAAGTCATAAGTATAATGTAGTTATAACCTTTAAGATTTTATGGATTAACTAGATTATGGCAATACCTTATTCCTAAACATTATTCCTATTATTGTAAAATTATTCAAGATGACCATTTCCATTTTCAAGGGTTAGGGAATATGGTTTGGGGAATATGGTTTTTCTATGGGAGTATTGGTGTATGGATTTGAGGTTGGGGTTTTTCTATGTGGTGGTGTATGGTTTCTTCTGGTGGTTCCATTATGTGGGTCTTTCCTATGGGTATTTTGGTGAGGTTAGGGTTGAGGTATAGGTTGTTATGGTTTTGGATCTTCATGTGAATTATTCCTAGGGTTCTACCTATGGGTCTTGGGTGAGTTGAAGGTTGAGGTATAGGTTGTTATGTGTTGGGTGCGAGGGGGTGGTGCATGATTAGAAAATGGAAATGGTCATTGCTAACTTAAAGACCCCTAGCCCCCCCAAAACCCCTATAAACCCTCTCTAAAACCCTCCCCGTGAGCCCGCCAGATCCCCCACACGAACCCATGAGCCGAGGCTGGATGATGCCGCGGGGGAGCTGGAAAGTGCCAAGCTGTCGAGTCTGGAGACCACCGTGCCCCTTCCGCCCCTTTTGTGTGGGTTTGGGGGCTTAAGTAGGGGTTGTGTGTGTAGGGTTTATACAGGGTTTTCCGGGAAAGGGGTTCATATGGTTGGGCGGGTTGAAAGGGGGTGACAGGGTTCTACAGGTCTTGTAGGCGAATAGAGTTTGTCGGGCATAGAGGAGTTGCCTGGTTCAGAGTTGATAAGATGTTTTTTCAGGAGGTAGTTGATGCCTACCCCCCCCTCCCCCCCATGCCAACTCATCGACCTAACTTGCGAGGGGGGGGGAGGGCTCCGGGCATTTTGCGCCTTTGAAGACTGAGGTAGTCTTGTTTAGTTCATCACCTGTGGGTTGTGGGGTTTGTAAGCTCCAAGTTCAGGGGTTTGGTGGCAGAAGTTCCTGGCGGAGACTTTGGGGTGTCGAATGCCGGAGATGTCAGGTGCTGGGAAGCATGGACGGCGATGCTCTCGTTGAGGCATGACGACTTGGCTGTGCCTTTGTTGGGGAAACTCCCCTGAAGCAACACTGCCGCCAACGTGACTCGGGCTTCGCACGACGGGCCTGTATTTCAAAACCCCAAATCCCCGAGCGCCGCAGCTAAGCCTCTAAATCCCCACAGCCTGGGCGTGGGGGCGGTTAGAGCTTAAGGGCTTGAGGTCCCTCCCCACAGAAGCCCTGGTCTTCTTAAAATGTCTGGGGCCTGTGTGTACGCCCCTATACGCCCCTGAATACCTTGTGAGTGCTATAAGGAAGCGGGTACCTAAAAAAACCTGGTTGTTTCGTGAACTTCTGGAGAGGTTTGTTTGTTTGTGTTTTTTTTTTTTTTTTGGGGGGGGGGGTGGGGAGGGGTTGGTTGCGACGATGTTACTCTATCCATGCCCAAAAACACCGTCATTTACAGCGTTTTTACACCGCTACACAACATGCTGCGCCAGGACGTTTGACGTTTCTGTAACAAGACGCACTGTCACAAGGCTTCTGCGAACAGTGTGTCGTCATGACGCTCGAACCACTAACAATTGCCACCAGAAGCAACATAAAGTCCAAAAACAAAAATGCACAAAACTGACCCTTGTGTGCATGTCGTAAAACGTCGTAAAAACCATGGTTTATGTGATTGTTTGCCGCCATTGCGCCCTTTCACTAGAACGCCCGAAGTGAAAGGAGTGATGTGTACTTTTGTGTCAGATATTTCAGATTTTTGTAGGTTCACACTTGGGTTCGGCCGGTCCACACTAACAGTCAAATAACGCCGTGGCCTTATAACACACAGGCCAAAAATAGCACCAGGAATCCCAGTCAATTTTAGCATTTACCGGGTGCATATTTTTGTGGGTCTGCTGGTGGTGACTGTTAGTCACATAGCAGCAGAAATAGCACCAGAAATAGCACAAAAAATAGCACCAGAAATAGCGCCAGGAATAGCACAAAAAATAGCACCAGAAATAGCACAAACAATAGCACCAGAAATAGCACCAGGAATCCCAGTCAATTTTATCAGCTTAGCATTTACCGGGTGCTGTTTTTTGTGGGTCTGCTGATGGTGATTGTTAGTCACATAGCACCAGCAACAGCACCAGAAATAGCACCAGAAATAGCACAAACAATAGCACAAAAAATAGCACCAGAAATAGCACAAACAATAGCACAAAAAATAGCACCAGAAATAGCACCAAATAGCACCAGAAATAGCACCAGACATAGCACCAGGAATAGCACAAAAAAATGCACCAGAAATAGCACCAGAAATAGCACCAGGAATAGCACCAGGAATAGCAGGAATCTCAGTCAATTTTTTGGCATTTACCGGGTGCTTTTATTTGTGGGTCTGCTGGTGGTGACTGTTAGTGTGGACCGGCCGAACCCAAGTTCACACGATAAAAGTTCAAAAAACATCGGTTTTTACAGTGTTTCTTGCTGTGGGACATCCTAACCTAATTCTCGCGTTCCTGAAAATTGTACATGCAGACTGTGCTTGAGCAGCTAAAACCCACGCGAAAACAGCGTCCGAACCTCCAAGTCACCAGCTTTGTTTTGTACCTGTGACCTCCTATAAGCCCTACACACACGACCCCATCAAACCCGAATTGAGATTAACTCAGTACGCCTGTCAGACCTAGCAAAGCTCTCTTGCAGCAGCTGCCCCACCCTCCCAGTCCCCCCCACCTCAGGCGGTCAAAGCGCAGGCGGCAGATCCTCCCGTGCCTTGGATGTAACGATTAGGTTATGTCGGGCATTTGAGGGTATTCTAGGAGGCTTTACATACCAGATCTTTCCGTAGTTGTATACGTATATATATATATATAGAGAAACCATGGACATAGATATAAGTATAAATAAATAGAAGCAGTGAAGTGTGTATTATACGTTACAATCGACGGACTTCGCCAGAGCCTTCAGGTGCTCTCCGCGCTGTCGTCGTGGCAGCGTGCGCGCGAGAACTGCCGGAAGGAGGTGCAGACCCCAAAACCACGAAACTCCGAAACCCCCAAATCCCCAAACCCTACTAAACTAAACCCTACTACGCCCTTAAACCCTACAGTTCAAGACGGTTGCGCGGCTTCCGGGTTTCGAGAAACCTAAGCCTCATATCGGCTTTCAAAAGTAACACAAAATGCCAACAATTCAGTTCGGGTTTGGGGTTTAGGGTTTAGGGCTTAGGGCTTAGGGCTTAGGGCTTAGGGCTTAGGGCTTGGAGATTAGGGCTTCGGGCTTAGGGTTATGGGTGTAGGATTTGCCTACATTAGGGTATCCCAAACATCAAAGGGCCCGTATTGCAAGAAATGCGTTATTTTTTTTTTCTTGGCTTTGTGTGCTGCTGTGGCTTCAGGATGCTTCGGGGTCTGGGGAACCTTGGACTTTTGGACTCTATTGCTTGCAGGGCTTAGGGCTTAAGTAGTTCTGGGGATAGTTTTCGAGGTAGTTTGAAAGAAGGAGAGTGCAGGGCAGAGGAGTGTTTCTTGCCTCCCGGGGTTCCCCCGAAAGCCTTCACCTAAAGCCAAAAAAAATCCTGTTGGAAATCCCACAAACCCTAAAAACACTACAAGAACCCAATAAGACCGATAAACCCGACACGCCCTGCACACCCAGTAAACCCTATGAACCCCAAGAACCCTTTGGACTGTAAACCTCCCTTAAACTCAAAACCCTAAATCCTAAACCCTAAGCCCTAAAACCGAAACCTCCCTCAATCGCAAAAATGGCCGCTTTTCAAATCTCCCAGAGGTCAACGCGATCATTGAAGCCTGTCAAGGTCGGGGGATGCTTCTGGCTCTGTTTTGGGGCTTAGGGTTTATGGCTTGATATGGGGGTTTAAAGGGTTTATGTGTGTTTTTGTTGGGCCGCAAAAGCACGTCGGCCCTATCCCGAAACCCATAGGCTGATGGTGTATTCGGTGCCGTTGGAGGCGGCATTCGTAAGTTGCCTCGGTTAGGGTTTAGGCTTTAGGCTTCAGGCTTCAAGGTAAATCGTTTACAGGTTCAGGAGTTCAAGGCCGGGCGTATCATGGCAGCCCGAGATTCTCGCCAAGGACCAGGAGAGGCCTTGTTGGGGGTTTCATGGTTAGGGCGTAAGCTCCGCCAGCCCTTGTCCGACCCCAAACTCCAACCCCAGAAGCCACCCGCAACACCAAGCCACCTTCAGCGAGGCAGCGGCGAGAAGTACACAGACAAGTCCTGGGACCCATCCGAGGACACCCTATATACATCCTGAACCCCAAGCCCTAAATCACATATTGCAAGATTGCTACAATATGTTAGAATAGGTTCTGAATATGGCATAGTATTATGCTATCACATGATATGACACATTGTGCTGTGATACATATAACCTTTTGATCATAGAATCATATACGATAACATATCATTAACATGCTACAATCTACGAGAATATACAAGAATAAGCTATTATGTTCTGCTAAAGCCAGTTCAGAAAACACACTCTAGTGGGACTATGTCAAAGTAGGGGTAGGTTTGTCCTTACTAGGGGATGGGGATTAGTTGTGACACTTGTCTTCGGGCCCAGGGCCTGTGCTACAGGAGACATACCGCGGCCTTATGAGGCTTCTCATCTTCATATGGGGGTTTACGAAAATAAGGGACCCCCTATATAGTCCCCCAAATAGTAGGACGCCCTCATCACAAGGACCCCAACATGGTACCCCTAATATCGGAAACCCCCATATGTTCGTCTAGGAGGACGTCGCACCCCCTAGCCAAGAAATGCCTGTATGGGACTCTGCGGCACACGCCCATGGTGGCAAGGTCTATAATGCGTTGCCTTGCAGCATCAGTACCTGACACGATTGCACCGGCAAAGTCACGAATGCCCAATTCGAAGCGCCTGGCGGCGTGGGTCGATACCGTTCTTGCACTTTGGTGTTGCCGAGACTTGTTTCGGGTGCGGCCAATTTTGCGAAAGGGTTTGCGGAGGCCTGCGTGGGCCTCGGCAGAAGTTCGCAACCTGAATACTCGACGACGCATCTGGGCCGGCAAGATCCAGGATGCCAAACGCTTGGTTGCGAGGACCTACGCCGACAAGGTCGGCGAAGTCCGTTTGGCGCAAGGGGTTGCCAAGATTGGTCAATTTTGTGAGGAGGCCTCTGCAACGTGGACGCTTTTTCTTCAGGCGCAGGAGCCTGAGAGGCTTCCAGGGCCTGAGGGGCCTCCAGGTACCTCCAGGGCCTTTACAAGGTCCAGGGATGTTTTGAGAAATGGCCTGGTTGAACCAGCCAAGCCTTCAGGGAGGCCGAGGACCGACAAACAACAGTAGGTGACTTGGGACCTGGGGACCTGGGGGGTTTTAGGGTGATTGTGTGTAAACAGTCGCCTGTTTGGGGCTTCTTTGTTTAATCTGTGTTTAGATAGACTGATCGTGCAGGACGACGCCAAGGCGGTGCTTTATGTGGACCGGGAGGGACCAGGCACGCCAGGGATGAGGGCCCTGATACGGAGTTGATGTTGCTAGCGTTTGGGGTTTGGGGTCTAATGTTGGTTTCTAGGAGTTAGAGCTGAAACTCTTCAAAAGGGTAGAGGCTTGGCATGTGGAATTTAGGGTCTTGGAAACACATGGCGGTTGACGGCAGCTTGCTGGGTGTTGTTCGACGGAGTTCTTGGGCGGTGGATGCCGCAAGCATGCCTATACAATTGTCATATAGTGCTCATACAACTACTGTATAGCTTATGCAACTATTATATGGCCGATACAATTTTGATAGGATGCAACTAGTATTTTACGAGCCATCCTAAAATCCTTCTCTGTGACCCCTTCCCTCCAGTCAGCCCGGATCGGTCGGGGACCTAAAACAAAACGCCCATTACTGTGCGGCAGGGTTGATGTGAGGATGTTTGAAGACAAGCACGGATCGACTTTGATATGTCGATGTTGGGACCAGTGCACGGCCATACGTTCTTGCCATGTTGAAGATAGTATCGATCAACGTTGCGAAACGTGTTGCCGGGCCACGGTTTTGGCTCATACTCTTCTCATGATCTTAAGAGAGTGTTGCAAGGGCCACGCTTATTGTGTTTGTGCTGAAGTGCCAACACTGGTCAATGTTGTAAAATGTGCGGCAGGGCCCTGCTTTGGTCATCTAGGATGTTGCTGAAGACCAGCAAAGATTAACCTCGTGAAAGGTGCGGAAGGGCCACCAGGTTGCGATCTTTTGTTATTTCCTTGGGGGGTAGGTTCGTGTGGGCAGGGGGCGGACCTAGGGCGGGGACCCAGGCTCATACATATATATATATATAAGTATGTATACATATATATATATATACATAAGAGAGAGAGGGAGAGGGAGAGGGAGAGGGAGAGGGAGAGGGGAGAGGGAGAGGAGGGAGAGGGAGAGGGAGAGGGAGAGGGAGAGGGAGAGGGAGAGGGAGAGACTTGGACTCCCAACTCGTCAGGCGCAGCCTTCAACGAATGCTCCGCCCAGCCCCGAACCCTAAAGTTGGAGTTAGGGTTTCGGGTTCAGGGCTTAGGGTTTAGGGTTCGGGGTTTAGGGCTTAGGGTTTAGGGTTTTGCGCTTAGGGCTTAGGGAAGCCCTTGTCCCGGAGTCTGAAGCCCTGCTCAACGATAAAGTTCCCTAAGCCCTAAACCTTTGTGCCCGACATTTGACACTAGAAGCCCCAAAATCAACAGCCTTGAGCCCGTAAGCCTACAGCCCTGAACCCTCACTTCATCCCAATTCTTTCCCCTCCCAGGTTGGGACTGCACGGTCAGCAAACCGAACCACTGGATACGTGCGAAGGCCTTTGTCCTTCCGGGTTTATCGGGTGTTTAGGGTTTCCCTAAACCCCAATAATTTCTCTAAAAGGGCTTAAGGGTCACCAAACCTTTGAGCAATGTTGGGAGGGACAGTTGCAGTGTTGGGACTTCGGGTCCAGGGTTTGGAGTTTTGGGGTTCAGAGTTTAGGGTTTAGGACTTAGGGCCTAGGAGTGTTCTTGATGACTGTTTCGGGCGTCACTGGACTTAAGTCCAGTGAGTGCTGTGTGCTGGAGTGAAAGCTCAGACAGCATTTTCAAGTAATCATTACAGTAGTAATGCAAACAGAAAACAATCATGTGGCAAACGGTGCAAAGCTACTCTACACAGCCTGCCAAGCACAGGTTTTTGGGGTTCGACGATTCTAACAGGCATCTTGAGCAGACATCAAATAATCTCGACTGGATGCAAGGGGTCAAGTTGGTCTAACAGGAGGTCGGTGAAGGGGTGCGGGGGTGGGGAGTGCAGGCGGGGGGATCAGGATGAGGCGGAGGGGCCGGGGGGCGGGGAGTACCCAAACAAAGAACACAAGAAGTCTACCTTATCTCATCCTTACTTGAGTCTTGTCCCCTCCTCCATGTGCTGATGAGGACAACTTCACGAAGCCCCTAAATCCTGAAGAGCCACCGACCTCAAGTCTTATAAACCCTTCCCTGAACTCCCTGAGCCCCAAACTCTGAACCCAGGATGTTCGGGATTTAGGGTTCATAGGTTTTATAGTTTTTATAGTTTTTATGGTTTTTATTTTTTTATGGCGTTCATAGGTTTTATAGTTTTTATGGTTTTAGTGTTTAGGAAGGAATCGAACCCGTAACAGCTGGAGGAGCTGCGTGAGGGCTGCGAACTTTTCAAAGACAACGGCGACTTCAACGACATCGACCAAGGCGAATGCGGCTTTTGGGGTTTGTCTAAGGTTCAAGGATTAGCTGTAGTGCAGGTAGAGTGAGCGGTTAGGGAACGAGGCACATATGCCAACAAGAGCCGGAAAAGTCTGCGACCCTAAGCCCCAGAGGTTCAGGTTACAAGAATAAAATAATTTGGATGCTCAGTTTTGCATTCAGGGTGGGACTGCTTCATTGTGGTTCAGAACGCTTCAACGCTGAAGGGTTCGCGAGGCAGCACGGGCGACTGCTACCTGCTCGGGGCGTTGGCCAGCGTTGCGGCCAATCGCAAAGCCTTCTTCCGCCAGGCTTGGGCCGTTTTGTAATTTGGGGTTGACAAGCTGAAAGCTGCCTAGAAGTTATGATGCTCTTCTTTGCGAGTTAGTGCCACTCAAGGTTTGGGGTGTGATCTTCGGAGGGCTTGCATTCAAAGTCCCAGCGCCCATGGACATCGACCCTAAGCCCTAAAACCCTTTGCAAACAAATTTGGGGGTCAGGATGGTCATCCCCCTTGTCCTTGAAACCCTGAAACACGAACGCCCCGGAAACCCCAAGCCCTACGCATCCCAAACCCCAGAGTAAAGGGTGTACGGCAAGAATAATTAATAATATTCCGTTATGGTCCCTTCCCTTACCCCCCCCCCCCCCCCAAAAAAAAAGAGACCTATTCTAATTTTTCAGGCCCCTATAGTATGGTTCCGGGCTTGCAGGTCTTCATTGCCTACGACATGGATGTGGGCGTCTACGGGCTATTGTTCTGCAAAGAAGCTTGGGCCCACAAAGCTTACCGAAATGCTCTGTGGATCCCTACATTCCCGATATTCCCCCAACAGTGTGTCAACACTGCAGGATTCCAACGCGTGTAGGGTAGGAGGGGCTCGGTCGAAGCACGCGCGGCGTGCAAGGCTGCCGCCCGCCGGCCGGACGGTGCATGTTTCTCGAAGTCTGTTTGCATATTGGACGAAAATCGCGCTCTCGCCCAGGCTCGGGCGTGGCCGCGCCCGTTGTCCTCGAAAGTGTCATCGGTTTTGGGCTTCTGGGCCTTCTGGGTTCGCGAAATGCGAAAGTGTCACCACTTGCGGATGGCTGGGTTCCCCAAACTGCGAATCTGTACTCGGTTTGGGACCTCCGGGTGAACCAAATGCGAATCCGTCCTTGCTTTTGTGCGGGCGGTTGGTGTCTTTTGGACGTGCTCCTGATCCATTGGAATGCTCTTGCATGCGCACATGGTCTCGCCATGTTTGGGGCCTAGGCTAAGGTACTTTCCTGAAGGGTTCTAGAGATGGTTCGTTCTAAGCATCCTAACATAAACTCGCAAACACGACCCTAAGCCGTAACGTACGCCCGAAGCCGTAAGACCCCAACAACAACTACAACACGATGAGTCCTACATGGTGTAGAAACGCTGTAAGCCCATACAACCCTGTACAACCCTGCAAGCCCAATAACCACATATCTAATCCCTTAAAGGGTATATAATAGGGGGATATAGGGTACCTCCTTCCTTCATTCCCTACTAACCAACAGTAAGATAAGCCCGGTAAGACCTGTAAGGCCTATTAGCCCCGCGAGCCTGGTCTTGTCGGACCATAAGCGCTGTAAACCTGAAGCCTTCGGGTCCCCCTAAAACCTAGACCTAAACCTCCGGGAGCCACTTCTGAGCCCCGAAACCCAGTTCTGAAATGAGAATTTTGGGAGTTCCGTACCCGAATTCGGGTTCAGGGTTTCTGACTTAGGCCTTAGGGGGCAGCGTAATTCATGACTAAGAAGTTGAGTTCGAAAGGCGAAGCGCCTTGTGCATCCATAGCTGCCGGCTTTTGCAGATGAAGGTTCAGCTTCTTGCAGAACCGAAGGCCTAACCTAAGCCCCCCCTTCCCCAATGGTTTAGGGTTTAGAGTTTCGAGTTTAAGGTTTAACAGTTTAGAGGACTAAAGGAGCCCCGTAAAGTTGAACGAGAGTTGAGGGAATGCCCAAACCTCGAAACCTCTAAGGGTTTGAGGGTCTTAGAGGGCTGCGCCCGGCTTGCAACCTCCCCTGGCTTACCCTGCCCCAGAAAATGATCAGACGACAACCCTAAACCCCGAAAGGGACAAACCCCTAAGTCTAGGTAACTTGGTATGTAACTGGAGCCCCCTGCAATTCCAGAAGCCCGGGCTTCCCGAACACTGATCCCTAAACTCTTGGGGGCTCAAGGATGGAAAATTGAACCTCCTGAGGATTCCCACTTCACTTATGAAATCGTGGACGACGTCCTGGCCGCGAAGAACCACAGCAGAGCAATGACCCTTAGCTTTCGAAACGGTTTCGGGGATAGAGTCGGATAGAGGGTTCAGGGTTGAGGAGGCGAGTGTTCACTTGGGGGCCTTTGTTATATCCGGTAACAGTCTCTAATGTTTCGGAAGTAGGGATGTAGGGTTCTTTTTTTAGATGGACTTCGGCCACAGACCCTTAGGCCCCAAGCCTTAAAACCGCCAAACCTTGAGCTCTAGTAACCCCAGAAACCCCAAACCCTAAACCCCAACACTTTGAAACCCGAAGTCCGCTTCAAATTGTGAAGCCCGACACGACAAAGCCCTCGAAAGTCCCGGAGCAAGGTATGCGGAAAGCACGGATCGAACCGAGATGTGGGTATCAATCCTGGAGAAAGCGTTGCTGGGCCAGGGTTTAGGGTTTAGGGTTTAGGGTTTAGGGTTCAGGGTTTAGGGTTTAGGGTTTAGGGTTTAGGGTTTAGGGTTTAGGGTTTAGGGTTTCTCATGCTGAGCTGTCCTCCGCCCTCAGCCCTGAAGCGGCAAGTCGAAAAGCCCCAAAACCCAAAACCCTAAGCCCTAAACCCTTAAAACCCAACGGCCCAAAAACTTCAGGGAGCCCCGAAAGCTCTGAAACCCTCCAAGAAAGATGGCACATAAAATAACCCCTCCCCTTAAGGAGGCCTTGACGAGGTTTTAGGGAGTCCTTGGACATTGGGTTTCAAGGATGGAGACCCCTTTGCTTGGGCTTAGGGTTTAGGGTTTAGGGTTTAGGGTTTAGGGTTTAGGGTTTAGGGTTTAGGGTTTAGGGTTTAGGGTTTAGGGTTTAGGGTTTAGGGTTTAGGGTTTAGGGTTTAGGGTTTAGGGTTTAGGGTTTAGGGTTTAGGGTTTAGGGTTTAGGGTTTAGGGTTTAGGGTTTAGGGTTTAGGGTTTAGGGTTTAGGGCCCTAACGGACCACAGCGCCAAACACAGGGGGTTCAGGGTTTCAGGTGTTAGGTCCGTTCAAGGGATGTCAGGTGAATTCAATAGGGTTTGGGTTTATACCGGGGTCTAGGGGTTTTAGCAGTGGTTTCCCTAAGGTTCCTCGGGTGAGGTGTCTTTGGGCTTAGCCCTCTTGAGAACCCAGACATTCCAAGGTTTGGTGGTTCAGGGTTTCAAGCTCTAGCCGCACTCGTCACCATCATATGACTTATGAAGAAGAAGAAGAAGCTTAAAGCCTCTCAACCTCTCATTCACGCCCTCTCGCACCCTAAATTCGAAGCCGTCAGGGTCTGAAGCCATCAACCCTGAGCCCTGACGTTCGACCTCCTTCATCCTATATCCTACTGCTATCCCAAGGTTCTTCAAGCACTACACGTGCATCGAGCCTCGTCTGGTCCCGGATGCGTTTGTTTGGGTTTCAAGGTTCGCGTGAGGATGGAAAAGGGAAATGCTTCACAGGGTGCTGCAATTGCACTTGCCTGTTGTGGCGACTGTTGCTTTCAAAAAGGGAAGCACCCTAGAGGTTAAGGCTTGAGATGTTCACGGTTTCAGGTTCACAGGGCTTGAGATTCTTCAGAAGTGCACTGATTTAAGGGGTTGGGGGTTTAGGGTGAAGAAAGAAACAAGCAGCACTGCGCCCAGACGTCGCGGCTCTCCGAATATAGAAGCCCTAAACCCCAAACCCCAAACTCCTGAGGCTTTCGGGCTTGGGGTTTAGGGTTCAGGGCTTAGGGTTCAGGGCTCAGGGCTTAGGGCTTACTGTAGGGCTTAGGGTTTAGGGCTTAGGGCTTAGGGCTTTGGGCTTTGGGCTTTGGGTTTAGGGTTTAGGGGTCCCCAAACCCCCAAACCACCTAAGGAGATGTGTGACGGGGGCCACGGCACGGAAGCGGCATTCAGCTTCCTGGGTGGCCTGGCCGGCCGCTATGCGCCTCGATGGCTCCCATTTAAAGGGTTCAGGGTTAGGGTTTAAAGTTTAGAGTTTAGGGTTTAGGGTTTAGGGTTTAGGGTTTAGGGTTTAGGGTTTAGAGGGTTTAGGGTTTAGGGTTTAGGGTTTAGGGTTTAGGGTTTAGGGTTTTGGGCGATCTTGGTTTTGGGTTTTGGGGCTTAGGGGTGTAGGGGTTTGGTGTATCTAGGGTTTATGGGTGTTAGGGGTTTCGGAGTCTTGGGGTTTAGGAGGTATAGGGTGTATGTTTTTTTCTTATCTTTTATGGTTTAGGGCATGATGGAGTTTAGAGGTTTAGGGCTTAGAGCGTTTAGTGGCTTAGGGGTTTAGGGCTTATGAGGTGGCTCAGGGGGTGCGGCTGGGGTTGGGGATGTTTGCGTTGTTCTTCTTGTTTTGCTTTCTCAGGTGGGTGTAAAAGGACTTTAAGTCGGGTCTGCGAATCCCTCGTTTCTTCTCAGCTCTCTGTAGTCTCTCTCTTATGTAACATAGCCTCTACAGGTGGTAAGGCTTAACAAGCGGGTGGATGTTGTGCGCGTTTCTGACCTCGATGGAGCATGCCGACTCAGTGCGCTTGCCCGCCATCGCCCGCCTCGCAAACCTTTAAGATTGGCGAGCAGGGCCCCTTGAAATCCCCCGAAAAACTTCCCAAGTGCACAGCTGCTGTACGCTGCGGGAGGAGACTTCGTGTGATCAATAAATTACAACAAATTTAGGTTAGCTTAGACACAAAAAGAACCCCAAAAACAAAAAGGAAGAGGTTAGGGCAGCTGGTGTGCTGGCTTTGGGAAGTGGCGCGAGAAGGCGCGCGAGGGCCTTCACACTCCAAGCAACAACGCCGGGACACCAAAAAGGACAGTCCAAATCCTAAACCCCAACCCCAAGCACCTACAACCCCTTCCACCCTCGGAAGATGAGGGCCCATCTCTCACTGTAGTGCCTACAATCCCTAATTCGAACCCTACAAGAACCCAGAACGCCCGCGCCTCCGAAGTCCCAAGAGCTTTAAACTTTAAACTCGAGAGCCTCCAGAGGCGATCGGCGATGACGAGTTCGACCACCCGGAGAAGTTCTTCGACTCGATGAAGCGGGCCCTCACGAGCGCTCCGGACCGGAACGTCTTCTCGGGGAGGGTTTTGGGGGCGTTTTTGGGGGTTGGGATGTTTTGGGATGTTTTGGGGATGTTTTGGGATGTTTTGGGATGCTTTGGGATGTTTTTGGATGTTCTGGGGTTTTTTGGGGGGGGTTTTTGGATGCTTTGGGGTGTTTTCAGGTTTCTTTCCTTTTTGTTCGGGGGGGGGGGGGGGGGGGACGGGGGGTTGAGGCTTTAAGGTTTTGGGGGTGGCGAGGGGCTTGACTATGCCGATTGTTGAGGAGTGGCTGGGGGTTCTCTACTCTAAACTCCTTGGATTTCGCGCTTGGGCTCAGCTCCGGAAGCTTCTGAGAAGGGCCCTCACTAGACGCGTAGAATACCCTCAGCCCTGAAAGCCCCTCGGACCCTTAACTTTTAAACACAAAGAGCATAGCACCTCAACTCACCCGACCCAGGTGGCGAGATCATGACCACGGGCTTCTCCGAGCCAAGCAAAGGCAGCAGGGACTTGAAGAAAAGCATTCGTTCATGGGGCCTTTGGGGAAGCTTTGGGGTGTTGGGGTGTAGGGTTTTGGGTTGGTTCTAGGGTGTTTCAGGCGCTTTCAGGGCTGCCCTACCCACTCGCCCCAAGCCCTCAAGCTCTAAGCCCTCAAGCCCTAAGCCCTCAGCTCCCTAAACCCTGGTTTTCAAGGTTTACTGGAAATCCTGAACACCCGAATGAGCCCAACAAAGCTGAAGCACCCCAACAAAACCAGCCCAACCGTGAGCTGCTGAGCCCAATCTAAAATGTAGGGTCGAGGGTAGGGTTTAGGGTGCAGGGTGCAGGGTTCAGGGTTTGGGATGTATTCAGGCTTGCAAAGTGTCGTTTTGAAGGTCTTGAAGGTTGTCTGCAGAGGTAACCCTACCCTACCCTACAGCCTAGACACCTAAAACTTGCTCAAAACCCGAAATGTTCCGGTGAGGCAAGTATGCGGACATGGGTGGCGGAGCAGATGGGCAGTGCGGTGCTACTTGATCCGATGATCAGTTCTTGTGTCCTTTTGTTTCCTACGTTTGGTCCAAGTTTGGTGTACCCGAAAGGAACCATAACTTATAGATGGGACTAGCGGTACTAGCGTTCATAGCGTGAGGAGCGCAGCAGACAAACTCAATCATTGCGCATCTATAAGCCGTACCACCTAAACCCGAAGTCCCCGAGCATGAAGTCAACCCAGGAGAAGGGCCTTCCATTTGGGCTTCACGGTGGCCATTGCTACTCTGTGATTCGTGTCGCGGAGGCGTCGTTCTTCTTGAAGGAGATATCGACACCCCTGGGCTGAATGGGGCCTAAATCCCAAACCCTAAACCTCTATCTCCGAACCAAGCCCTCCTTGCACAGAACTCCGCCGCTCAAAGGCCCTAATCGTTCGGTTTAGGGTTCAGGGCGCCTTTTTAGACTTAGCGGCCGAAATCTCAATGGAACGATGGCGGCACCTCACTCCCAGGGGTCTGTGAAGGGGGCTCTTCACCACCGTCCGAGGTTTAGGGGAACCTGGGAACAACCTGGGAACAACTTGGGAACCCCTGAACCCAAACTTGGGGTTGAGCAGCTTGGGGGGCTCGAAGGGTTTTGGGCTCAGGGTTCAAGGACACCCCCCAGGATTCACCACAAGATAGCCTACGTAAGCTAAGGCCAGGGCCAGGTTTGGGGGGTGCTTCCCATGCTGTCATGCAATCAATCCTAACACCTTGGCGCGAGGTGGATGGAAGCCAGCTTTTCTGCTTTCGGAATCCTTGGGCACATGGCGCCTCTTGTCGAGCATCTTCAGTCCCACGCCCGAAATCTCCAACTGCCTCTCCGCATCTACGTACCCATACCTATACCTAACATTACACCTATAACTATACTTACATGTGCATACCTAGGTACCTTAACCCGAAATCCCAGACACTAACTTGAGCTGCAGCTGACTGGCTGAGGAGTGGACGGGCCCTTGGGGTGACAAGTCGGAGGAGTGGACGGACGAACGGCGCGAGGCTGTGGAGTTGGGGGCATTTTTTCAGGGTCTTGGGGAGCTGGGGGGCATTAGCCTAGGGGCCCCGTTTACCTGTGAGGGTCTGGGGTCTCGCGTTGACGGTTTGGGTTTAGGGCCCTGTATTCAGAGCTGCAGGACGCAGACTTGGTGGTTTAGGTGAAACGGTTTAGGGTGTTGTAAACCCCAAAGCCTCCTAAGTCCGAAAGCGCTAACGCCAGCCGACGCCTTAGATCCTAATGCCCTATAAAAGCCCACACGCAAGTGAGGTAGCGGCCTGCAGTCCTTTGCTCCTTTTTGTAATTCAGCCCGAAACCCTTAGGCGTCGAACGAAGCCCAATCTTGCAAGCGCAAAATGTTGTTGAGATGTGCAGAAGCCATTGTGCTGTGCCGCTCTACCTCGCGTCGTTGCCTTAGGCCCGCCTCCCCCCAAAATCGGTTGTGACCCACTGCACCATGTCGTCCGATGCGCTGATGCGCTGGGCTCTGCTGTATGGGTGCCTTGCGGGGTGCCTTGTTTTCGGAGGCTTCAGGATGTCACGTGGTCATGGTGAGGATTCGGGGTTCCGGTCTCATGAAAGCCTAACCCTAAAGGTCCTAAAGGTTCCATTAGCCGATCAGCCCTGCAGCATGGGTTCTCTCAACTTGGAGCGTTGAAGGCCGTGGGCTCGAAAGCGGGGGATGACGGCGTCTTCTACATGGCCGTTCAGGACATGGGGTTTTGATAGGGTCCCGGGCTTAGCTTTCAGAAAGGGGCCGCCGTAGGGCCTCCGTGTTTCCACGGCCTCATCTTCAGAGCAGCCCGCTCTCTTAGCTTTGAGGGTGTTTCGAGTCGTACGAAGCATCGGTCATCGACGTGCGATGAGTGGCAGTGAACAAGAACCCATCTGAGGCCAGTAACATCTCTCAACCCTCTGAACCCGAAACCCCTGAAACCCTAATCCCTGAGCCCTCAAAATCTTATACCCTCAACCCTAATCCCTGAACCTATACCCTAAGCCCTAAATCCCGAAGCCCTAAACCCTAAACCCTAAACCCTAAACCCTAAGCCCTAAGCCCTAAACCCTAAACAGGACTACGTGCAGCTCTCCAACAGGTCCGACTTCCTCCGCACCTTTGGGCCGGCCTGGCAGCGCCCCACCCTGGCTGTTTTTTTTTTTTTTTTTTTTGGGGGGGGGTTTAGGGTTTAGGGTTTAGGGTTTAGGGTTCAGGGTTTAGGGTTTAGGGTTTAGGATTTTAGGGTTTAGGATCTAGGGTTTTAGGGCCTGTGAGGTTTACGGGGGTGTACAGAGTTTATCGGGTTTGTCGGGTTTGTAGTATAGGGCCCTGAAGACTTTTTTGGGTTTTTGCCGTTTGGGCTTTGTAGGGTTTAGGGTTTTAGAAAAGGACGCTGTGAGGACGTTCTGGATTTAAAGGTTCCGTTTTTTCGATAGGGTAGTATTTTGGCTCGAGGGCTTTAGGGCCTTCGGAGTCTAAAGCCCCAATGCCTAAAATCCAAAACCTTAAAGCCTAAAGGTAGCCTCAAACCCTAAAGCCCGAAACCGTAATTCCAAAACCCCAATACCCTAAACCACAAAAGCCTACTTCAAGCCCCAGAGCCCTCAAAGTAGCCTCAGAGACTTATTATAGGCAACATTCCAACAAGCCCCCTAAAGTCCCTCAAACGCACACCCTAAACCTCCACAGACCCCCCTAAAACCCCCCCCCCTAACCCCCCCCCCCCCCCCCCCCCCCCCCCCTCCCCCCCCAAAGACCCAAGAGAGTCTTCTGATCTCAAAAGGCTTCTTTGGAGGTCAGGTTGCAGTTTCGGGCTTGCATGCAGGATTGCAAAGGTCTTTGCTGTAGAAGGCTTCAGGATGCTTCGGTTTAGGAGCTTCGGGATCTAAGTGGGTTGGAAGGTTTCGGGCTTTAGCCTCGGGTGTTTGCAGTCGCGCCACCACGCAAAAACCGGCTGCACTTTGCGCAAGAGAATCCAGCCCCATCAAGAAAGCCGGGGCTCAATCCAAGAACACCCTAAGCCTCTGAAGACCTGCCATCCGCAACCCCCCCCCCCCCCAATTCCCCAGTTGAAGAGTTAAAAAAAGGCCCGAAGTCGCCCCTTTAAAGGACGGTGCGGTCCTACGGCCGCTTCAGCGATGCGCCCATGAAAGCGCGGGCGAAGAAGAACTACCAAGCGCAAGACGACGACGCTTGGTGGGGCGGAATGCAGGGGAGGCTTTGGGGTTGGGGGTTGGGGGGGAGAGATTGGGTGTTCTGAGGGAGTGGCCTTCCGTCTTAGGGGCGCCTAAATTACAAAAAAAACCTGGCCACGAAAGCCGAAGCCGACGGCCTGAAGGCTGGTCGTCGCCGGTGTCGTCGGTATCTACAGATTCTTCTTGGGGTTTGCGTGCTTTCCAAGTGGAGATATTGCTTGCTAGAACTTGCTGCGCAGAGGCAATGTGCTGTGCATTACGGTGGACACTTCGATATACAGATGCTCCTTGTTGTGAGACCTCCGTGGCCTCAACAAGTTCAGCTCTCACTCTCAAACTTCGATTGCCCTGAGGGCCAAGTGGGCTCACCCTCACTTCAAAGGCCATGTTTGGGGTGGGCCCCCTGTTTTGGGTACCCTAAATAGAATAACAGAGCGACCCGCACTGGGACCACAATTTCGAGGAGTGATCAAGTCGTACACCCCCAGCTCCAACATCGGAGACGCTGCTGGAAGCCCGGGTGAACCCTAAACCTGAAAGGCCGAAACAGGGCTAATATCGAGAGTGAGCATCGAGGAAGAGATTTCCTTCGACAAGGGTGACACGATCGACGTGATTGAGGTCCAAGGACTCGGCTGAGTCTCTGAATGTACTGAGGCTGCTGAGGTTCAGGAGGACCTTGTTTTTTGTTTTCGATTCCGAAGGGCGTGGGAGGAGGGGGGGCTTGGGGCGTTTTAGGGCAACTTAACAGGACCCCATCTACATTTCCCCATCACAATATTTTGGGGGGTATAAGGGGGACCTCGTCGATTATTTAGGGAGGTGCCCAGATAGTGGCAGTTGGTAGTACGGCAGCAGGTCGTCGTGTTCAAGGCCCGAACGCTTTCGGGAGTGCTGCTAGACCGAGGGGTTTGTTATTGAGGTCATTCCTGGCTTCCGTTGCTCACAATCCCGCCAGGATACTGGTGCAAAGGTACCCTTGACAAGAATGGGGAGACGGGGTACTTCCGCAACAAGGACGTCACGATAAAGACCGACTCTGTCTACTTGCACCTTCGAGTCAGCAAGCCACCGAAAAACCCAGGAAAGGCCAGGCCCTGTAACATGTTGCGCCATATGCTGAGCTGTGGATCTGAAGCCCTCAAGTGTCGGCCCCATACCTCATACCCTGGAACCCTAACCCAAGAGTCCCTAAACCCCAGAAGCCCCGGAATCCCCAGACGCTGTCCAAGCCATGAGCGGCATGTCTCACCCGACTCCGACTCCCTGCTACTCTGTTCCATTCACGGGTTGCTGTGAAGGAACGTTTACTTACTATGGTTTATTTACTTACTATGGTTTAGGGTCTATAGGGTTAGGGTTATGGAACCGATGCTCCTTCTCCTTTCAGTATGGCTCTGCGATGGCAACTTGTTGTAAGCTCCTACTGACGCCCAGATTCGAGGATTCTAACAAGGCAGGGTGCAAGGGTTTGAGGATTTTATCAGGGAGGGGTTCTCAGGCACCTCCGGTTCCGTCAAGGACGCTTCAGCCGTAAACCCCAAAGCCAGCAAACCCGACCTTTTTTGGGTTGGGTTCCCAGATAACACGCCTTCTTAAGAACCGAAACCCTGAAACCCTCGACTTCCTAAACCAAGAAGGGGTACCTAAATTTAGGGCTTAGGGTACAGCACGTCTGACGGCCACTTCCACGAGACGAGTTTCGTGCTGAGGGTTTAGGATCCACGTGTCCTAGCTTCAGCGGAGCATGTATGGGCTTTATGTGAAGCACCTGAAAATTGCCTCTTAAACCCTTATACCCTGTAAACCATAAGCTTCCTAAGGTACGAGTTCTCCGTGGAGGACATCGCAGAAGATGCGCCTGTCATGATTAGTCTGATGCGAGGCTGCATTCAGTACAGCCCTGTAGTTTGAAACAAAGAATTCCTCATCCAGGGGGCCATGGAGCCCTAAGCCCTGAAGGTCCTAAACCCTAAACCCTAAGAATCCCGAAGCTTTAACAAACCCTGAACCCTAAATTTAGGGCTTCTTAGGTGCTTAGGTTTTATAGGGGCTTCCTGAACCCGACATGCTACATGAAGGTGACCGAAAATTAGGGGTTCGGGCTGATGACCAGATGACCTGCTCTGTGACGACAGTTTTTCCAAGCCCAACAGATCTCTAGGCAAAGCTCGAACCCTTCCATAACCTGAACTGATTCCGCAAACTTGGCAAGACTTCGGAAGTTCGTAGTGTGGGTTGAGGTCTTGCGCTTCTCCTTCTTGGAATCCTTCCTTGCGCGTCTGTGCTTCTCATAATCCATACCGTTCTTGAGGGCTTAAATTTACCACGAAAATAACTTCGAACAATTCTGCTCTACTCCGGCTTGCAAACGTGAGCAAATTTCAAGAACGCTAAAGGCAAGCAAGTAGCGCAATTAGCAGTTTGGCAGCTAACGTCTTAACAGCCATCTACTCGTAGCTTAGCAGTGGGGGTTTGGGGGTTTAGGGTTTATCTTAGGGTTTAGTTTAGGGCTTAGGGTTTAGGGTTCAGGGTTTAGGGTTTAGGTTTCAATGACCAAAGCCCAAATCTCGAGGCTGAGAGAAAACCAGAAGATGTGCCGCGAGTGGAACAAGCGCGCCTTGGCCCAGTCTGGCGCGAAACCCTTAGGGTTTAGGGTTTAGGGTTTAGGGTTTAGGGTTTAGGGTTTAGGGTTTAGGGTTTAGGGTTTAGGGTTTAGGGTTTAGGGTTTAGGGTTTAGGGTTTAGGGTTTAGGGTTTGAAAAAAAAACGACGACTGTGCACGCAACTCTCCTGCGTGGCGGGTGAACATTGAGGGCCAGAAGCCCTAAACCTTAAGGCCGCGGCCAGTAACTAGAAGGAACGCCCCCCCCCCCCCCCCCCCCCCATAGCATTTCTCTTAAAGCGAAGGCGGGTGAAGAGAGCACGTAGCGAACTGTTAGGTCCTTCTTAAAACCTCATTCTGCACAGGAGACCCGAAATCTTCAACCCAAAGTTACTAGGAACCTAAAGGATTCCTGGGACATTCTTGAACGCTGGATTCGCGGGAAACACTCAAGCTATCCAGTTCTTTCAGGCGGCGGATAGTGTGGCTTGTTGGCTGCGAGCGCGTTTTGCGGGACCTTTAACATGAACACTCACTAAACCCTCGACAGCCGAGGCAAGGATGACGGCAAGAACTACAAGGACAAGAAGTACTCCAGGGGCTATTGGCCACCTGGCAGAGTTCCAGTCGCCTTGAGGGCCGCCAATATGTCTAAGCTTCTAAACCTTGAATCCTAAACCCTAAGGCCCTAAGCCCTATACCCTCTTCTGTTTGTTGCGACTTCTTTTCGGGGCTCCGGGATGTTTCGAGCCGCCGGAACAGTAAGCCACATCCAGCAACCTGGACTGGGCCGTGCAGGTCGTAAGGCGGTTTGTGGAAAGCAGTTTACCTAAACCCTAAACCCTAAACCCTAAACCCTAAACCCTAAACCCTAAACCCCAAAGCCAGGAGGCTGGGATTCTGAAGCGCCAGGTTTCGGGCTTCAGGCTTGTTGGCCTTCTGGCATTCGGCTGATTTTTAAGGGCCCTGGGCCGCGTGTGTACCCCGCACAAAAATCGCAACACAGCCCTGTGAAACTTCGCACAAAAGTATACCTGAGAGGTAGCCTTCCGATCATTCCCAGATCAGATGCAACTCGAACTTGCAGATTCAAAACCGGAAACCCGAAGCCCCAAAATGTTTCGAGGAGAGCCTTCCGGAGGCCTTTGTCTTTGTGAAATGAGATTCGATGAGACGGGCCCTTGATGGATGTTTTTGTAGTCTTCTGTGGGCTTGTGGTTCAGGGGCCACCTTTCCGGTCCCGAACCGACATTCACACCTCCCACAATCTAGCCGGCTACCATCGATCCATTCCGAGTAGCATTTGTCTGTGAGTATGGCAACGGTACATGCAACTCAGTCTCAAAGGCCTACGCTAGCCCTAGCCTAACCAGCAGCATCCCAGGTTTATCTTCGAGAGTTCGGGCAAAAGGGTTGGGAAAGCCTCGATTGGCAGCCGCCACGTATGGCAATTCCTGGAATCCGGCAAAGGCCGGGTAGGTCTTGGGAGGGTTCAGGGATACTTCAGAGTTCACTTCAGGGTCTCGGGCTCTTAGGTATACTTTTTAAGGACGTCCTTCTTGCTTTCCTGCTAGTTCCATGCAACTCTCCCTTGTCCCGGCTTAGTGTTTTTAGGGGGCGATTTAGGGTTTGGGGGGTTAGGGTTTAGGATTTACGTATTTCAGGTCCCCAATTGCTCGCACATCGCCTCCGCCGCCTCTAGCCACCTGCAGGTATAGGTTGTGGCAGACGTGGAATTGGTCTGACTTCTGTTTTTTTTGTCATGGTGCATGGTGTAGGGTTCGTGGGGATCCGGCAGAGCGTGGAGGACATGAGGCATGAGGTCTAGGAGTCTGGGCTGCTCAGCTCCTCTAGGATAATGCAGACACACAGCATCCTGGGCAGCGTTCTAAGCTTGAATGTCTGCGGGATCAAGAGGGGGGAGGGGGTGGTGGCTTTCTGGGACATTTGCCCGGTGTAGGGGTAACGCCTGTGTTCAGCTTGATTAACCCCCTTTTCAGGTGTATATGCTTAGCTTGGCGTCATGTGGGGACTAAGTCCTAGGCCCTAAGCCCTAATTTCCCTCAACTCCCGACACCCTAAGCCTAAGTTCCCATTTGCGTGCTGCAAAGGCCCCTGGAAGATTTACGTCACTTGTCCGGCCGGCAAAGGCAAACGCTTCAGTGTGCCTCTCGACACCTCATGGCCTTGTCCGGGTGGAGTTTAGGGTTTGGGGAGGGGGGGGTAGGGTTTAAAGAGAGCTTCGGGTTTTTAGGGAATGTAGGCGCAGGGGTGTTTCGGGGACTTCGGGTTGATGGCCCCAAGCCACAACACAATTCTGAAAAAGACCTGGGGGTGAGAGGGAACCCAGTGGGGCCGGGGGGCTGAGAGGGAACCCAAACGTAGCCAAGGCGCGCAGAACTTACCATCTAAGGCACATCTCCTAGGTGGGATAAGGGAGGCCCTTCAAAGGGGACCCCTTCTCAACCCTCTTCTGGCGCTATTAAGGAGGGACCTTCTTGAGAGGGTCTATATCCCCAAGGGTCTCCCCAATCCTACCTCCTAACATCTTGCACCAAAACCCGAAACCCTAAGAGGGCCCGTTGCCCTAGGGTTTTGGGTTTGGGGGTTTAGGGTGGAGACGCCCCAAGCCCGCAGCCCCCATGCTTGCATGCTTGCGGACAGGGCCTAAGGATTCGGGAGGGCCGCCCTCGCCCTGAACTCTTTGAACCCCTACAGGCCCTACAGAAATAGAACTCCAGAACCCTCACCTCCCCTAAATTCGACTGCAAGCAAAACCCAAAACCCTGAACCCTAAACTCCAAACCATAAAGCCTACAGAGTTCATAAACCCTCAACCCTAAACCCAAGCCACTGAAACCCAAGAAGCCCTCAGAGCCGGCTTGTTGCAAGCCGAGGCAGGGGTTCGCGCCCCATGGCTCCATGAAGCTCAAGCAGCTGGAGTGTAGCTACGGGGACTTCCTTGACAAGTGTTCCTAAGACGGTGGCAGAGTCGGCAGCGGATGATTTCCACACTCCTAGAGGCCGAATCTCGGAACCCTAAACCCTAAACCCTAAACCCTAAACCCCAAAGACCTTAAGCCCAAGTCGAGTGCATGGTGTCGGGCTTCAGTGCTGCCCCGCCTCTGCCAAAGTTGAGGGGCTTGAGCTGGGATTTCCATGGATTTCCGCAAAACAGGGCAGCCCTTGAAACAACCACCCAAACAAGAAGACCTTATACTATCGGAACCCCCCCAATGTTTAGACGGGTGCCCTGAGTTTTGGGGAAACCCTCAGCTGAGACAAATTGCAGCAGACGCTGCTGCATGCCTGGAGGGCCAGAAACTTCCTAAACCCTCAACCCTAAACCCTCAACGCAAAAAACCTAAACCCTAAACAATAAGCCGTAAACCCTAGACCCTAACCCCTAAACCCTAGACCCTACGCCCTAAACCCTAAACCCTAAACCCTAAACCCTATGCCCTGAACCCTAAACCCTAAACCCTAAACCCTAAACCCTAAACCCTAAACCCTAAACCCTAAACCCTAAACCCTACGTCTTAGTTTTGCCTTGGCCCTAAAGCCCACAGACCTGGAGTGGTTCAAGGCTTAGGTTTGGGCCTGTGGGGTTGAGGCCGGGGCGTATGTATCTTTAGTTCAGGTGTTGTAGGAGGCAAGGTTGCAAAGGCAAAGGCGGAGCACGAGGCAGCAGGTCCAGATACCTCTGGTGTTTTTTTGACAATTATTCGGTCTGACAATTACAAGCAAGCCTACCCCAAAGCCCCCCAAAACCCTAACAAATGCTAAAACCCCCTATGGGCAAACCCCGCTCTCAGCACGAGGTTCTGCACAGAATGTAGGGCTTAGGGTTCAGGGCTTTCGGTTCCCGAGCTCCAGCGGTTGAAGCTTCCTACGGAAGCCCTCAAGTCCTCAAGCACGTCAACCCTTGTTGGTGACCGTCCCTCCACCCTGCCCTTGATGGCGCTCCAGACCATGACCTGAAAACCCTCAGCGTACGCCCTCAGATTGACTGGGTCTTTAGAGAGTTTGGGATCGGAGGGTTCAGCGTTTCGGGTTTAGGGTTTAGGGTTTAGGGTTTAGGGGGGTTTAGGGCCCACTTGACAGGCACGTCAGCTACAAGGAAGATACGAGAATGGAGACTCGCCAAGGGACCCTGGTCTAGAGACCCTATGCCCTCCCACCCTAGACTTAGACTCGAAACCCTAAACCCTAAACCCTAAACTCTAAACCCTAAACCCTAAACCCTGAACCCTGAACCCTAAACCCTAAACCCTAAACCCTAAGTTGAAACCCTCAAGCCGTAGCGTTGAGGGGTTAGGACTTAGGCTTTCAGGGCTTAGGATCCTAGACCCTACAGCCCTGGAACCCCTGCGACCTGAACACTCAAACTCTAAGCGGGGGCTTAGGGCCTAGGGTCAAGGGTTTAGGGTTTAGGGTTTAGGGTTGAGGGATTAGGAAAGCTTTTCAAACCTTGGCCTGGACTTCATGAAGCCCCGCATCCTGTCGGATACGTTGCTACAATCACTGCCACCCCCTCAACCCCCAGCTTAAACTACCTTGAGGCCTAGACCCTAAACCCAGCACACCCTAAATCCCGAACCGCAAGCCCCATAGCCCTCTACAGCGTAAGCTCCAGTCAGCAAGCTTACGCCTCAACCCGAACATCGCCTTAAGCCTCGAACCTTCATGTTTTTCAAAGCTGACAATCTCTACACCCCCTCTAACCCCTATAAACCCCAAGCCCGATAAGCCCTAAACCCCAACCCTAAGCCCCAAACCCTGTAAACCCAAACCCTTTCCCCGGTCCCGTGATCACGGCAAGGCCTCAGTGTGCAAAAGTAAGGGTTTAGGGTTTAGGGCTGGGGTTTAGGGTTTAGGGTTATTTAGGGTTTAGGGTTTAGGGTTTAGGGCTAGGGTTTAGGGTTTAGGGTTTAAGGTTGAGGGTTTTTGGGGCCTGTATGTGTGGTGCCGCCGCCCCTGAAAGGGGAGGGGGCGCCTAATTCAAGGCTGGCAGGTTCCTTACATTATTGTCCCCTTCTGGGTACCGATTGCAACATGGGCCCTTTAGTTTAGTGTTTCGGGTTTGGTTAGGGTTTAGGGTTTAGGGTTTAGGGTTTAGGGTTTAGGGTTTAGGGTTTAGGGTTTAGGGTTTAGGGTTTAGGGTTTAGGGTTTAGGGTTTAGGGTTTAGGGTTTAGGGTTTAGGGTTTAGGGTTTCGGGTTTCGGGTTTCGGGTTTGGGGTTTGGGGTTTGGGGTTTAGGGTTTAGGGTTTAGGGCCGAGGTTTAGGGTTTAGGGCTTGCACCATAGAAGGGGACCATGCTGACATCCTCCAGTTTTATTGAATCGTCCTCCACTGGGTTTTTCGAAGGGCTGCGCGGGGCGTCTCGAGGAATGCCGCACCCTTGGGATGCCAAGAACAGGCAGGCGACAGAAGGACACTTGCCCCCGTAAACTTTAAACTCATGATTTCGAGAAGTTTCATCCTCGTAAGAGCTCTACGCCAGCGGAAGCCCCTGCATCCTGGAAGCCCCAGACCCTTCGCGTCGTGGGTTGCTTCGGAGGCGAAGGAGGTTCAAGATCCCTAAGCTCCATAGAGCCCAAAAGCCCTCCCGAAATCCTCAACCCTAAAACCCCAAGCAGGGCTCTTCGTGGAGGAGAACGGCAAGGCCCCCAGCATCGAGCCCGCGAAAGCCCCTTTTGAAGGTCGTTCTCACCAGGCGTGCGCCGAGCCTGAAACTTGGGCTCAAGCAAAGGCCGCAAAGAGAAGCGAGCATGTGGACTGCTGGGCTTCGGGACACTGTTCTCCCACAGGATATCGTTTCTTAGAGGCCCCTCAACCCCAAACCCTAAACCATAAGCCCTGGACTCTAGACCCAACTTTGGCCTCTGCATACCCTAGGCCCGAAGACCCCAAGCTGAACCCGAACATCAAAGGTCGCAACTTCCGGGGAAGGCCTTCCATGGATATTTTCCTGGGCAAACCCCGACACACCCAAAGCCGAAACTCCTATGACCCCTTTTTTCTGTGGCTGTCGTGGCTCAGACGTTTGCCTTTGGGAGCTTCAGAGTTAGCCTAGCCTGTGTTCCCCTGGCACGTGCTTCGCGGCGGGCTGAGTCATCTGACTTAGGGCTTTTAGGATTTTGGGGAGCCTGGAATCCCACTATATACCCTGCAGTTGCCGGTAGGTTTGTGCGGCATGTTGAGAAGTGGTTCCCCTTCAGAACCCCAAGCACCCCGAACTCCACCAAAGCCCGAAGCCCCAAACGGCCTAAACCCTAAGCCCCAAGCATAAACCTAAACCCTAAACCCGAACCTCCCCGCCACCCTCCCTGGTCCTGTCCAGTGCACTTGTTCCCTCAGGCACCAGTTCAAAGACCAAGCCAGAAATTTTATGAACCCTTTCTGTTGCCCTCCCGGCTTTGTATCTCCTTCTTTTGGGCAGTCTAGCTAAACGGTCCGCGATGCCTCTGATTCGTGGCTTCAAATCTCTTTGCTGGCAACTTGTTCACAGCTACAAGCTTGTGCTGGTAAGACGCAATCGTGGCCCTGAAATTTGTGAGGGTAGTGTAACTGTGGCTCCAAACCTCCTTGCGGGTAAATGTTCACAGCAACACGCTTGTGATGGTAGGTTAGTTCTCACAGATCCAAGACTCTAGTGCAACCGTGGCACCCTTTGCTGGGAAAATGCCTCACAGCTACAAACTTGTAATCATGGCTCCAAACCTCCATGAGGTAGTTTTTTCACAGATACTAGTAGAAGCCTGTGGGCCAAAACTTGTTGGTGGTAGATTGTTCGTAGCTACAAGCTTGTGGGGGTGACGGAGTCGTCTTTGCTGGTAAGTTGCCCACAGCTTCAGGCTTGTGATGGTAACGTAATCGTGGCTCCAAAGCGCTTTGCTGGTAAGTTGCTCACAGCTACAAGCTTCGGATGGCAGCGTTGTGGTTTTTGCTGGTGCACGGTTTGCAGCTGCAAGCCTGTGTGATGGTAACGTAATCGTGGCTAACGCAGTCGTGGCTCCAAACTTCTCTGCTGACAAGTTGTGCGCTTCAACCTTATGATGGGAGCGAAATCGTGGCTCCAAACCTCCTTGCTGGTAATCTGTTCACAGCTACAAACTTGTCATGGTAACGTAATCGTGACTGCCAATCGCTGGTAAACTGTTCATAGCTACAAGGCTTGTGATATTAGCGTAATCGTGGCTCCAAACCTCTGTGCTGGTAAGCTGTGCACGGCTTCAAGCTTGGGATGGTAATTTAGTCGTGGCTCCGAACCTCTTTGCCGGTATTTTGTTCACAGCTTCAAACTTGTGATGGTAACGTAACCCTCTGAACCCTACACTCCCGCTGCCAGGGCGTAGCGTTCAGGGTTTGAGTTCAGGAGTTCGTTTAGGGTGCGAGTCGCCGAGGTCTTCATACCCCCTTGCCGAACAATGCAGTTTACTTCCGCCGCCTTCTTGTCCATCCTGCTCGCCCTTCAAGGCGGAAAGCACCCTAAAGCCCTAAACCCTGAAGACCCCTCAAAAGCCCTCAAAAGCCCTCACAAGCCCTCAAAAGCCAGCCCCAATTCCCAACCTATGCGCGACCTCGGCCCGAACATGAACGGCTTGGGGTTCTGGATGGGGGCTTCAGGCATAGGCCTCAGAGGCCCTAATCGTGCTTCGGGGTTGAGGGCATGAGGGTTAAAACGCCGAAATGCGTTTGATGCAAGAACCTAAGTAGCTGCACCAATGCTATTCCCTTGTGACCCCCTATATGCAATTTTCAAGACGGCTATCTACGTACAGAAAGGCCCGCAAGGAGGTTGATGCGCTTATGAGCGAGGCCGAAGGCAGTGCCGTGCACCACTGGTGAGGTGAGTGACAAACACAAAAGGTCAAAGAAAAGGCAAGGATCGACTTGAAAGTCTGGGGTCCAAGGAATCGCAAGCACATCGACCAGGCTTCAGGGTTTGGGCTTCTGGGGCATATGGATTTCGGTTCTTAGGCTTTGAGGGCATCGCCGAGCCACAGCTTCTTAACCCCGAGACACAGCCCTGACTTCCGAACCTCATGGAATTCCTTCGCCTCGGATCCTGAATTCTCCTTCAACCCGAACACCCTAAAAGTCCTTCCCCAAAAGCCCCGAAATAACTCCCCAAAAGCACTTAAACCCGCAAGACCCCTCTAAAAACCTAAACTCCTAAACGCCCCCCCCCCCCCCCCCCCCCCCCCCCAAACCCCCCAAAACTCTAAAACCTCTCCTAAACCCCTGAAACTTCAAGCCACAAACCCTCCTAAATTCCTCAATCTTATAGACCTCTCAAGCCCTGACCGCTGAACTGCCGTCCCCTGTGAGACCTAAACCCTGAACCCCTAAACCCCAAAGCCCTAAATGACCCTCCTTGAAGCTGCGCGGAAGCGAAGGGCGGGCTGCGGCCGTGTCGAGCCAGAAGACGGCCGAGGAGGCGCTGTGATCTCTAGGGTTTTACAGGGTTTTACAGGGTGTTCCGGCACTGTTGCCCGCGTGATGCTGCGCTGGTGTTGCGCTCCGACAGTCTACATGAAGAGCTGTAGCATTCGTGCCCAGCAGGCACTGTTGGCTCAAGCGTGACCCATCAACGAGAGGCAACAGTCAGCGACGCCTGTGCAGATTTTTACAGTCATGGCGGAGTGTGCAGAGTGTGCAGCAGCCCTTCCTGTCGCGCAGCAATTGGAGCGGCCTCAAGAAGGGCGGGAAGCTGTCATTTTATGCAATTTCTGGCGACGTGTTGCTCAGCCTTGTGCCGGCAGATATAGAGCGAATGGAAAGCGGCCAGTGTGCTGACTGGCAACGTGCCATCCTGTCGAAGTTGGAGGATGACTGGCCAGACAGGTCAGGATTCCGTCAGAGCTTGCTTCTACCGGGTTTCGATGACACCGAAGATGCGGATGATGTCTCTGTGTCTGTGGTTCAGCGTCCAGCCGATAAGAACAAGTTGGCCGAGGAGCTCAAAGCTGCTTGTGCGCAAGTGGATGCCGCGGAGCTTGAAGAGCTTCTCTGGCAGGGAGGAGACCCGGATTCCGAGAAGTCTCCGCTTCTCCTGAAAGCGCTTCGGAACGACTTCGAGCAGGGCTTCCGCCTGCTGTTTCAAGCACGTGCAGATGTGAAGCTGATGGAGAAGGCAAGTCCGTGCTCCTTGAGGCAGTCCAGAAAGGCAAGCAGGACATTGTCGAGTTGCTGGTGGGTCGCAGGGCCGACGTGAACTATATATATGTATATATTATTATATGTATTTGTTAGGTTCTGTTTCTGTTGTTGTTTAAATTTGATCGGCATATTCTCTCCATCCGGCGGGGGTTAGAATATTGGAGTTGTCAGCCAGCATTTTTGCACGTACCTGTACAGTGTGCTGGCGAGCCGTGTCAGATTCCATCATCACATATCAGTGCTGAAGTTCAGTGCTGAGATTTTGGAGACTGCGATTTCGGAAAACTAGTGCATCGGGATCCCTCATGCACCTCCCTACACCAGCAAATGCTTGTCGAGCTTGAGAGGTTGCGAAAGGGTTTTGCGTTTACAGTTTTAGGGTTTCGGGTGAAGGGGGTAGAGCTTTGGGTATTTTAGGGTTTTGGGTTTAGAGGTTTAGGAACGGGCAATGGGCGTTTTCGGGCTCAGGGCTACAAAGGTTTGACATCAAGTTTACCGGCAACTCCCCTCGAGCTCCCTTCCCTAATCCCCGCACCCTTAACCCTGTCCCAAGTCTTGTTGTTTTTTTTTTTTGTTTGGGGGGAGGGGGGGGGGGGGGGGGGGGTGAAACCCTAAACCCCCCTAAACCCTAAACCCTAAACCCTAAACCCTAAACCCTAAACCCTAAACCCTAAACCCTAAACCCTAAACCTAAACCCTAAACCCTAAACCCTAAACCCTAAACCCTACAACCCTACCCTAACCCTAAACCCTAAACCCTAAACCCTAAACCCTAAACCCTAAACCCTAAACCCTAAACCCTAAACCCTAAACCCTAAACCCTAACCCCTAAACCCAAAACCCCAAACCCAAAACCCCAAACCTAAACCCTAAACCCTAAACCCTACTCCAACGCAGGCCGCCCCAGCCGCCAACTGGCTGTCGCTGCTGACGAGCCCTGGCCGACTTAACAGCAGATGGGGTCAATTCCTTAACTTAGTGAGGGGTCCCTTCGAGGTTTAGGGTTTAGGGTTTAGGGTTTAGGGTTGAGGGTTTAGGGTTTAGGGTTTAGGGTTTAGGGTTCTGGTAACTTAGTAGGGGTCCCTTCTTTGGGGTTGGGGAGTTTGCAGGGTTTCGGGTTTTTAGAGCCTTTGGGGGTTTAGGGGTTTGGGGTTCTGGGTTTTTGGGTTTAGGCCTCGGGTTTTTTGGGGTTCAGGGTTTTGGGTTTGTATGCACCCCCCCCTGCACCCCAATCTGAGCTGAACGGTCTGCCTGAACCCTACCTCAACCCGAAAATTCTAGGAAAATAGGTTTAGCAACGAGGCGCATGAGATTGAATGGTTTCCTCGCTTGAGAAGGTGCTGTGGCGGAGTGAACATCAGGACAGAAGAACTCTTTTGTCCTGATGCATTCACAGGCACCCCACATGGAGTGCCTGAGGAGGTTCGAGACTTTAGGGTTCGCACACCAGGCTTCCCGTCTGAAAGCCCCAAAGCCCCGTAAATTAAAAGCACCCTGCCCAAGTCCTAAACCCTTAAAGCCCTAATTATAGGGTAGAACCCGCAGACCCCGAGCCCCTAAACCCCAAACCCCACGCCTGTTGAACCCCTCCAGCCCAGGCGCCCAGCAGATCTAGGAGGATCTGAGAAGTATATCCTGCAATCCAGTACTCTATGTTACCATTGGGTGGCTTACCCTAAACCCTGATCCTTGCACGGGTCTGCCCCGCCGAGGAACAGCTGGGCCCTAGCAGGCGAACCCGAGAGCGAGCAGACGCAAGGACCCTCGGTTTCGTTACCCAACCGCTCTTCCTTCAAAAGGGTTGTTTTTATAGCAATACATGGGTGTCGGGTTTGGGGCTTATGGGGTTTTGGTGTTTATCACTCCTAGGGTTAAACCCCGAAATCCTTCAGACCTTAAGCACTGATGACCCTAAACCCTGGCTTATAGGACTTCGAGGGCTTCAGATGATGAGTCTTGTGCTTCTTCTTCTGGTGTTTAGAACATCCTAATTTCAAACGAAGAAGGGCTTCTAGCTGGAGAGAGGTTTATGGGTTTAGGGGGGGGGGTTGATGGGTGTAGGGCGACCATAGAAATTCCCATCCGAAAGAAACCGAGGACTGGACGACCTGGCCAAGAACATCGTGAAGTTGGCCAAGGATGGCGCTGGCGCGGCGCCGGATGAGCTCTTCGGGCCTGCGGGATTTGGGGGGGGGGGGGGGGGGGCTGGGGAGGTGGAAGGGTTCAGTCCTGCACCTAAATCCCTAAGCCCTAACTCCCTCAACCCGAAACCCTAAACCAAACCATGGGTTTGGAGCGTTTCTTTTGGGCTCCAATGATGCTTCTGCTTGGGGCCCTGGCTGACTGACAGGTCTTGGTTGTCGGAACCCTGAGTTTTCTTTCCCCTCGAAGCTCTAAACCCGAACCTCTGAACTCTAAACCCCCTCAACCCTAAACCCTAAGCCCCAAGTCCCTCGAAGACAGCTCAGGTCCATGAAAGAGGCCATTGCCAGCATCCGCTCCATTGCGTCCTGGCTTGAAGAGTTCGGCTCCAGAAAGGTTTTTGGGGTTTAGGGTTTAGGACTTCGTGGTCTTAGTAGGGTTTAGCGACTTAGGTACCTTATACAATCCCTTCAATGGCCATATAAGATAAGCGGGAGATCAGGTCGCTGAATTCCCTCTTAACGCAAGAAACCCTGAGCTTTACCCCGCCAGCCGCCCAAACCTCAAACTCCTATTCTGTCATGGTACGCTATGTTCACACTATGTTTCGGTACGACATGCGAATCATACGCTTAAACACTGAACCCCCCCAAGCCCGCTAAACCCTAAATCCTAAACCCTAAACCCTAAACTTTTGCAGGGCTACAAGCGAAAGATTGCAAGTCCGAGCATGTGTTGAGAGAATAGGGCTTTGGGCTCAGGGTTTCGGGCTGGAAGTTGGAGGTCTAGCCGCTGATTAGCGCCCACGCCCTCCAAGCCAAAGAAGCATGGAGCCGTATCTGGGGAGTTGATCTAACATTCCCTAAACCCTAAACCCTAAACCCTAAACCCTAAACCCTAAACCCTAAACCCTAAACCCTGAAGGTAGTCTCCCACAAATGGACCCTAGGTTTGATTCCCCCTTACAAGCCAGCCCTGCATACTTGGAATCCCCTAGTCCCGAAACTCTAAACCCTGACTCGATTAGGGTTTAGGGTTTAGGGTTTAGGGTTTAGGGTTTAGGGTTTAGGGTTTAGGGTTTAGGGTTTAGGGTTTAGGGTTTAGGGTTTAGGGTTTAGGGTTTAGGGTATCAAACTACAGGTCATCGACATGAAGAAGTCGGTGAACGAAACCAACGCGGCCGCGCAGTACGAGATCAATCGCAAGGAGCCGGCCTCGGGTCTTCAGGGTTCAGGGGATTCAGGGTTTTGGGTTTAAGGTTCAGGGTTTAGGGTTTAGGGTTTAAGGTTCAGGGTTTAGGGTTTAGGGTTTAGGGTTCAGGTTCAGGGGATTCAGGGTTTTGGGTTTAAGGTTCAGGGGATTCAGGGTTTTGGGTTTGAGGTTTTGGGGGTTTAGGGTCTTCAGGGTTCAGGGTTTAAGGTCTTGAGGCTTTAGGGTCTTAAGGGGTTTGGGGTTTAAGGTTTTGAGGGTTTGCAGGTGGGGATGGCTATAATTCGAACTTGTTTTACCCTCCTTCAGGGGCACACCTTGGTCCCCCAACGATCTCGACCCTCCACCTTTTAGGGCTTAAACAATACTTGTGTGTACACTTCTGGCATGGGAGCCCAGAGGAACCTTCAAAACGAAATCCGTCCTCACACAAGTCCAGTCCTTCAGGGTTCGGGGCTTAAGAACCCCAATTTCCCAAACCCCGAGCCCTCCCTCGCAGGCTGAGGCCGTGGCCGCGTGTACCGCACCTCGAGCTGAAGAATTGGTCTGTCAGGTCTTTGAGGATTCTGAAGGAGCTATGAACCCTTCACCCTGAATCCCCAAAGCCCAAAACCCTAAACCCTTATCCCCTCATACCCCAAAGCCCAAAACCCTGAACCCTTATCCTCCTCATACCCCAAAACCCCCCCTCAGCGTGCCCAGAAAGGGCCTTTGCTGAATTGACCATCGTGGGGTGTTATGAGGCAGACACGCTGGCCAGCTAAGGCCCATATCCACCAGGGGTTTAGGGTTTAGGATTTAGGGCTTAGGGTTAGGAGTTTAGGGTTTAGGGGATTACTTGTGAGGTTTAGGAGTTATTTAGGGGTTTACTTGCGGTTTTTCGGGTACATATTGTTCAGTGTAGCGGAGGGGTTCACGGGATAAGGGGTTTTGGGCGACAGGGGGTTGCAAGGGTTTAGGGTCCCCGGAACCCTGAGACCATCAGCCTACCCCGAAAATCCTAAGCCCTTAACCGGCGTCCGAAGCTCCTCAACAACAAAATTGTCACGAACAAGAACCCGAAATCCCAAAACCCCAAACTCTACAGTCACAAGAGGACCCCTAACCCTAAGGCCACATAGCCCCCCCCCCCTTCCTTCCCATATTAAGGATTATCGAGCATTTTGGGGAAACGGAAAGGGGCAGCCCCCATACTTGGAAATGCCCTAAGCCCACCTTGAAACAATAAACGCCTGCCCAGGTTCCGGAGACGCCTTCGCTGAAGTTTGGCAACTCCAAGGATGATGTCATCACCTGCCGCCGTGGGCCCTGGCTTAGGGCTTTAGGGTTTTAGGGATTAGGGTTTAGGCTGATTGGGTTTGGGGTTTAGGACTTGAGGGATTGGGGTTTAGTGTTCTTGGGTTTGGGGGTTCAGGGTTTTAGGGTTTCTGTGTTTTTTGGAAGGCGGAAGGCGGGGAAGGCAGGGGGGAAAGGGGGCTTCTGGGGCTTTAGGGCTTGAGTTGCAGTTTGGGAGTTTAATGGAGCTACTGTTTGAACACTCCTTGTTACGCCATAAGGGTCAGAAACCAAATGGCAGGACCGAATACTCCTGCCACATCAAATGCACCAAACCCAAAGAATATCACACCAGATGAAAACGAATGAATTCCAAAACCCTTTGAAAAAATCTACTGCCGGTTTCCAGAACGTGGATGATGGAGTATCCCACAAAACCCAATGCCAAAGGTTTTGGGGTTTAGGGCTTTTTACGGCTTAGGGGTAGTCTGTTGATAACCTTCGCCGGTTGCTGGACGACGGAACCTTGGTTACACATCAGTTTTGAGATGGTTGGAAAGGCAGGCGTCAGACCATGACATGGTTTTCAACCCACTCATACGTGCTTCGCCTTGCTCTTGCGCTGTTCTTCTGCAGTCCTAACTTTCGGGTTTAGGTACTGTAGGTAGCCCTAATTACCCCACAAAAACCCCAAGCCCCAAAGAGAGTTCGGAGGCTCACATGCTTCAAATCAGCTTTCAGAGCTGGGGGGGGGGGGGTAAGGCAGGATTTTAGAGGGTGCACCCCAAGCCTTCAGGGGGTTTAGAGCTTAAGGGTTTTGGAGTATGGGTTTTGATTGAGGGCCCGCCCCGGAGGTTAGAGTTGAAGGATATGGAGTTTAAGGATACTCGGGGTTTTGGCGCCTTTCCTTGCAGGTTTTGTGGCTTAGGGTTCTGGGGTTCTAGTGAGGATCCCAGAGGCCTAAACCCTCGTCCTCTGAGTGATGAGGAGGCGCCTTGATTCTGTGGGGGGGCCATCACCGCCCTAAGCCCTAAACCCTGTAAAAGCCTAAACCCCCCAGGCCTGATCTTCAAACCCTGGGACTGAGGAGGAGCTGTTCCTAAGCCTTTGGGGGCCTCAGGTAGCGAGGAGAAGCCACTCTACAGCCCGGGGCCCCGAAATGGAAGGGGTCGATAGGGCGGCAGCATATGGAGACACTGACGCTTCGGTGTGTTTGGGAGTTTTTGGGGCTGCTTTCCCTGCAAGTCCCCCTAATCCCAAGCCCTTAGCCTTAGCCCCATGTGTAAATCCTACACCTTCAACCCGCCTTTGTCTGGAGGTGGAAGTAGTTCCCCTCCTCCGTAAAGAAATGAGAGGCTCAAGTGAAAGGTTGGCTTTGGGATTTACGGCTGAGGAAGTTTAGGGACAGGATTGAGGATTCGGTAGGATGACGGCTTTAGGATTTGGGATTTCGGGTCCAGGAGTGTGGGGTTGGGCTTGCATCCTTGGGTTTCGAGACGGTCTGAGGCAGTCCGGCCTCTTGCTTTTCGGATTCTAAGCCCTTCAAGTTCTGAACCCTTATAGGCCCTCAAGCGCTCCGATCTTGGGGCCTTAAAACCCTAAGTCCCGACCCGAAACCCGAAACCCTAAACCCAGATGCCTACAAGCTCTGCGAGAGTGAGAAGGCGCGCAGCTCCGTGGGGCCTTGCCTTCATCGGGGAGGACTTCCGCACATATTGGGGACGGAGGTTAGGGAGAGTTTGAGGTTTGTAGGGTACTCGAGCTTTCAGTAGCTCCAGAGCCTACGCGCTGGAGTAGGGACCTTAGGCTTTAGGGTTGCGTTTTGGGAGACTGCGGGTGAGGCACGCTGCAGCAACACCACCGCCTGCTGCGCGAGCCTGGTCCAGCCGAACAAGCGCCCCCGGTTTCGACTGGAAGGGTTCAGGAGAGGTTGATATGGTTTGCTAGGGCTTGCTTAGATTCAGGGTCCAGTGACCGAGGAGTTTTTTTAGAAAATGGGACGCCGTGGGAGTGCACTTTTTTCACAAAAAAAAGCGCGCAAAACGTTTAAAACATCCTTAAAAACACACGAAAACGTGCAACAAGAAATAATACACAACAAATCCCACAAAAACCAAAAAAACACAAAACAACAAGAAAACCAAGAAAACCAAGAAAACCAAAAAAACCAATCCTGAGGGACTCTGTTGGGGAGCCGGACCCCTGGGAAGAGTCTCTCAGGATTGGTTTTTTTTGTTTTTTTGTTTTTTTTTGGTTTTTTGGGGGTTCTTGTGCAAGAAAACCAAAAAAACCAAAAAAAGCAAAAAAAAACAAAAAAAACAAAAAAAACAATCCTGAGGGACTCTGTTCGGGAGCCGGACCCCTGGGAAGAGTCTCTCAGGATTGGTTTTTTTTGGTTTTTTTGGTTCTTTTGGTTTTTTGGGGATTCTTGTGCAAGAAAACCAAAAAAATACCCAACAAAGCAAAAAAGCCTTAAAAAACAATCCTGAGGGACTCTGTTGGGGAGCCGGACCCCTGGGAAGAGTCTCTCAGGATTGGTTGTTTTGGTTTTTCTGATTTTCTGGGTTTTTTTGTTTTTGAGGATTTTTGTGTGCCATTGGAGAGTCTTCTATTGTTTTCTTTTGTATGGTTTTTCGGTGTCTTCTGAAGGGTGTTTTTTGGGTTTTCTTTAGACTTTTTGGTGTTATTTCATTTTTGTACGCTTTTTTTGTACAGTTGTTTTTGGTATTTGTGTGTTGTGTGTGACTTTATATTTCTGAGTGCCCTTTTGTACGTGACGAAAGCGCTAACATGGACAATCAAGGACACCGCATTATGTGTTTCTCTTTTGAACAACATTGATATATTATCCATGAATTTCGTGCTCCCAGCCACATGGTTTGAAAAGCATGGATTGTTTGAAAATATTGGTTTTACCGATGTTTTTCGGCTCCATCCTTCAAAAACATTGGTCAAACCAATGTTATCCATGAATTTCGTCCTCGCAGCCACATGGTTTGAAAACCATGGGTTTTTTGGAAATCGTCGGTTTTACCAATGTTTTTCGGCTCCATCCTTCAACAACATTGGTAAACCCAATGTTTTCCATGAATTTCATGATCTGAGGCTCTCTCCCAGCCACCATTTCTCGAGGAGGCACCAAAAAACAAACTCGAAAACTGCAAAATCTCGAGAGAGTACCAACACCTCCATATAATCAATCACGCCCCAATACGCAAAACATGACATGTATCCTAAAAAACTATACCTTAGGATATCACAAGCAATCATCCCCCAATAAGCAAAACCTAATATCTGTACTAAACACTGTACCTTAGCAACATATTTTCAGACATCACGCCCTAAGGCTCCTACCAATTTTAGAAGGTTCCTATCAATTTAAGCAGGGTTCTTATTCATGTTACTGGGAATCGCAAAGGTTTTTAATTAATTTTAAGGATTAGGCTCATATTAATTTAGTAGGATTCCTATTAGTTCTTGTTAAAGGATTCTATTGTTTTTCAGGCCTATTGGTTCCTATTCATTTTAGTAAGACTTAGTAAGATTCCTTCTCTTTTAATAGGATTCCTGTGAATTGTAACCCGGGTTCTTTTTGATTTGTCAAGGGTTCCTTTTTATTTTAATATGCTTCCGTCCTATTAACTCTTATCCGGTTCCGATAATTCAATCGAGGATTCCTATTCATTTTCATAGGATTCCAATAGAGTTTCATAGGGTTCCTAGTTATTTGAAAAAGGCTCCTACTCATGCAATAAGATTCCTATCAAGTTTAATCAGATTCTTGTTCATGTTAATGGGATTCGTATATATATATATATATATATTGATAAACATCTCATTCATTTTTATAGGGGTTCCTATTGGTTTTAGGCTCATTCTTTTTCAGTAGGATTCTGATTATTTTTCTAAGGGTTCACATTATTTTTTTATATGAGTCCGATTGGTTCGTATGAATTGTAGTAGGGTCCCTCTTCAGTTTAATAGGATTCCTATTCGTTCTACGAGGATTCTCTTTTTTTGTGAGGGGCCTCCAATTCATTTTAAGAGGCTTCCTATTGACTTTACGGCTCCGACTAATTCAAAATAGGGTTCCTACGGGTTTAAATATCTTTAAACAAATAGAAAAAAGTGCACTCCCACAGCGTCCCGGTCTCTTTTTTTAAGGGTAAAAGGGCTTTTGGGGTGCGGGGTTGAAGGTTTGGGGTTTTGGGCTTTGGAGTGTTCAGTTAGGGCTTTAGGGCACTGCATCTTGAGATCATTTGAAGCCCTCCGACGCCAGGTACTGCCTGAACCCAGGCGTCGCACCATCGCCGGACTCTGATGTGGGTTTTTGGTTCTTGGGTTCAGAGTTTCGGGTTGAACTTGGGGTCGTAGGGTTTAGGGGTCCGATTTTGTCTCTTCTAGCATGCCAAACCCGGAGCCCCAACCACCCCCTAAGCCCTAAACCGCTTAACCCCAAACTCAAAACGCAACAGTGGCAACGACGCCGAGGCCGCTGCAATACGAGTCCCAGTGTGACGGCACGCAACTGCCTCAATAGGGGTTCAAGACCCCTGGAGCCTAAACTAAACCCTATAAACCTTGGGCCAAGATCTGGTCAGTTCCCAAATCTGCGGTTGAAGGTTCGGGCGTTTTACGGCTCGGGCTTATTAGGTATTGGGGTTTAGATTAGAGGCTTGAGGGTTTGGGTCAGTAGCTGTTGTCATACCTGCTCTGTTATTGAGGCTGGTCCTTGGTTTGGTGACGATGGGCAGGACCCCTAAATCCTAGACCCTAAGCTCCAAAGAGCACACCCCGAAGAAAATCGGTCCTGGCATTCTGAACACTAAGCTTCTCGCTTCAACACGTAGACACCCGACCCGTGTGAACCCCACCACAAATAATCATCCTAGGGTTTAGGGTGCAGGTTAGTCTGCCATACAGATTTCGTAAAGATTATGGTTCCTTTTGGGGTACCCTCAATAAGTGGGGCCGCCTTCTGACAAGGACCCCACAAGGGACCACAATTTAGATAAATCACCACATGATCTAGCCCCTAAGTTTAAATTCAAAAGGCTATGTCTTAAGCATTGTATCGTATGTCGTATGGTGACCTATCTTAGCAAGCCCCTAACCCTCTTCCCTCTTCAAGCACTCAGAGTAATCCGCCGCATTAATTAACAAAGCCCCTAGCCCAACCTTGTCTTTCTGAGTGGCCGAGGTCGTCATGCAAAGACACTGACATCAAGGAGAAGATCGCCTTCTTCAAGGGCAAGTTGGATGCGCGACTGGGATGGAAGTTATTTAGGGTTTAGGATTTCGGGTTTGGGGTTTAGGGTTTAGGGTTTAGGGTTTACGGTTTACGGTTTACGGTTTGGGGTTTAGGGTTTAGGGTTAGGGCCCATGTACTTTTCAGGGTTTAGGCTTCTGGCTTTCGCGGGGCTTAGGGTCTTGCTTTCACTGCGGTCCCCGGCTTGTTTGCGTGCTTTAGGGCTTAGGGCTTAGGGCTTAGGGCTGAGGGTTTTGTGGTTCGGGCTTGCACTATCCCCCCCCTCCCCAGGCCACACACGAATCCCAAAGCCCGTAAAATCCCGTAGCAAGACGCCCAGCAATGCCTTCGTTTGCCACCCTAAGCCCAAAGCCCTAAACTTTAAACCCGACACCGAAAACCCAAACCCTACACCCTAAGCTCTAAACTCTACGCCTCAAACCCGGAACCCCAAAACCCTCAAACCAAAAACCCAAAAACCCTGAACCCTAAACCCAGCAAAACCCTCAGAGCCTCTTGAACTCCTCAAATCCTCACGAGGCTGGACGCAGCCGAGAAGGCCTGCGATGATTCCCGTGCAGGCCGGGGGTTTTGGACTGGGGGTTTAGGGTTTAGGGTTTTGGGTTTTGGGTTTTGGGTTTTGGGTTTAGGGTTTAGAGGGTTGGGGTTAGGGGGTTTAATTATGGGGGTTTAGGGTTTTTTGGGTTTTGGGTTTGCTTTTGAGGGTGTTGAAGGGTTGGCAGGGAGGTGGGGGTGTGAGAGGTGTGCTTCGGGGGGGTTGGGTTTCGGGCTTCCCGTGTCTGCTGTACAGAGGCCTGAAACCCCAAACCCCGAACCCTCTGACAAAGTTTAGTGATTCTCAAGTACTGAAGTGGGACATTCGGGACAGTTTGCTATGTGATATGATCCTTCAAAGAGGGTGATATCGGGGGATTGGCGGTACCTACGACCCTACTAAAAAAAGGGTACCCTATTGTAAAGCAACTCCCCCAAGCTCCTCCCTAAGCCTTCAAGGCCCAACTTCTGCTGTGTAATCCATTCATCCCTGAACCCTAAACCCTAAACCTTAAATCCTAAATCCTAAACCCTAAACCCTAAACTAGGGTTTACAGCTCAGGGTTTGCTGAAGCCCTGTGGCACGAAGGCTGCAAGGATTCCTATGACTGTGTACCGAAGCAGGACGCCTGGAAGGCCTGCCTTCCCTTGTTGCGTAGGCCCTAAACCCTAAGCCCGAAAGGAGCCCTAAACCCTAAACCCTAAACCCTAAACCCTGAACCCTGAACCCTGAACCCTGAACCCTCAACCCTGAACCCTGAACCCTGAACCCTAGACCTAAACCCTACAGACCCTTGATTTGCAGGGACTCGATGGCACTGGTTTCAGAGAAATTCCGTGCTTGGACGGTTTCACGGAATCAGAGTTCACGTGAGCGCGTGAGGGCATTGAGCGTGCAGGTTGAGTGCTTGGGGTTTGCGGATTTTAGGGCTTGGGGCTGCAATGACTTTGATTTCTCCCCAGGGCTTTGTTGGCCTTTTGAGCCTCTCCGGGGCCAAGAGGCCCAAGATTCTACAGCTGGAGTTTACGCGTGACCGGAGCATTTGTGGCCGAGATTTCAAGATGGCTCGAGTAACGCAAGCTTCGGATCAGGCGGCCACCTTCTTCAAGAAGCCTCGACTTCTTGGACAAAGTCCCTAGCCACCCATAGCACCCCTGTTCAGGTGTAGAAGATGCTCCGGAGTCCTACCAACAGGTCCTGGCACAAACGACGAAGAGCTGTTGTTTGGGCTTTGTCGCAAGGTTCTTTAACCAAACAAGGCCATCTGAACCGAGGCTTTTGCGTGTGACTCGAGCTTGCGTAAGAAAGCCTGGCCACCCGAACCCAGGCGTCGCTCTATGTGAGTGTAGAACATTGCCGAGGTTCTGTTTTTAGGCCCCTGTGTTAGGGTTAGGATTCTAAGGCCCACACGCCTAACCCCCCAGCACCCCTAAGGGCTCCGCACCTTCCCTGCCAGGTCAAGCAGACCTCGTGCAACGAGATGCAGACGAACTTCGAGCAGGAGGGTTCAGGGGCGTTTATAGGGTTTAGGGTTTAGGGTTTAGGGTTTCGGGTTTCGGGTTTAGGGTTTAGGGTTAAGGATCTGGGCTCCGAACCCTAAGCCTTGAGCCCCAAAGACCAGTGACACCATCCTCGTTCTTCGAACCCTAAACACCCTAAGGCCCTTTGCGCTAAACCCTTGGGACTAAACCCTCAACCTTAATCCCTAAACCCTGGACCCTTGATAACCCTAAACCCTAAACCCTAACCCCTCAACCCTCTCTCCCAGGCCTACTGCAACCTGGCCGAGGGGCTCGAGGTGCTTCCTCCCGGGGTCGGGGGTGGGGGGGGGGGGGAGCTGAAGGTTTGGGTTTAGGGTTTGGGGTTGTCGGGTCGAGGGTCTCAGGGTTGAGGAGGTAGCCTTTGGGCAGGTAGGCCATTGGGATTTTTGATATGGTCCTTCTGCATTTAGTTGAGCGGGTCATATGTTTCTGTTTCAGATGGTTCAAGGGGCCAACCTACTGTAGCAAGACCAGCAATCCCCCCTGAGCCCTAAGCTCACAAAGCGTGCAGCGCTGAAGCCCCACTGCCCTTGATGCCGATCACACCCAGCAAACCACAAAACCTTGAGAAGCCCGACCTTTTACACCCCCAAAACCCTGAGGAAACGTATGCGCCTAGACTCGAGACAAGAAAACCCCAGCCTTTCCAGCCCCTGTCCAGCCCTCCCTACCGCTGCGCACAGCTCCCAAAGAAATTCAACACTTCGTCGCCCAAGAAGCCAGGGGAAGTGGGACACCTACCTCACCTGCCTTGCGCCTACGTGGGTGTTTTCCCACTCCCCCGAAAGGGCCCCCCTAGATGCCCCCACCTTGCGCCTGTAGGGTTTTCTACGAAGCTTGAGTCGGATGCGTCACGGGATGGATGTTCGGGTTTTGGTTTGGTGTTCGTTATCCTGGAGACGGACGAGAATGTACTATGGGTGGAGGGAAGAACTCGACCAGGAGGTAGAAACAGCTATATCCTGGCCAGTGCTTCTGGTTGAGGAAGTCCTTCTTTGCGAGTCTGCTGATTTGTCTCGTGGTCAAGTGAGCACCGACAGAAGAAGAAGGAGAGCCCTAGACTCGGAGATTGAGGCAGGAGACTCATGCGTATAGTTCTAACTCCAGAGGCACTCGTAGGAAGATGTAGCATGAAGATTCCAGTGCTAAACGCTAAACCCCTAAGCGCTGAACACTCCCAAGCCCACAACCCACTTGTTAGTGCTGGATTGAAGATCGAAGCTTGCCCAGGAAGCGGCCTTTGAATCTGGAGCCCAGAAAGTTGTTCTTAGGGTTTAGGCTCGGGTTTGGGTTTAGGGTTTTCAGGTACCCCTACAGTCCTAAGCAGTGCTGTGAAGCCCTATGAAGCCCCACTGCCTCAAGCCCCGCTTCCTACAGGACCGCAACTTCACCCGTCTTAATTAATACCAACAGAGCATCCTTATATAATAACAGTAATCATCATGAACAATCATCGTAGTGATACGAAATGAACAATCATCGTAGTGATACGAAAGTGCCAAAAAATAGGAAATACGAGTTTAATGCAAACGAGCTCCCCCTTCCCTGAGGCTACGACACCAAGAAGTCGGCGCTGACGTCGGAGGAGTCGAAGCAGGAGGCTTCCTGAAAGGGAGAGGAGGGGCAGGGTGGGGCTGGGCTACCCCAAACCCGAAACCCTGAGCCCTAAACCCTAAACCCTAAACCCTAAACCCTAAACCCTAAACCCTAAACCCTAAACCCTAAACCCTAAACCCAGCACCCCGTAAGCCGTCAACCCTCTGCCTCTTCCCTCCGTGAGCCTGGCGAGCACAGAGAGCCTTGCTGTTCCCTCTAACGAGCTTTCGGGCTGGGGGGTTTAGGGTTTAGGGTTTAGGGTTTAGGGTTTAGGGTTTAGGGTTTAGGGTGGTTCTCCAGATTTTGGTACCCGAAATGACCCTAAGGCCTCTTTAGTTCTTCTTAGTTGGAGGTTTTCCTCGACTGCAGGTACCCCATGTTTGTTGTTCCTATCGTAAGGATGTGCAAAGGACTATAGCTTTGAGGGGGATGATGATGTTGGGTAGTACTCGGTTGTCTTCTTCTTGTGCGTTTTATTGACACCATTCTATCTTCCAGAACTGGGCTCACGAATCCGTCTCTGTGCTCCCCTGCCTTCAAACCTCTTTGTTGTCAGACCTAGACTTCATTACAGAGAAGAGAAAGGTCCTAGGGTTTGTAGGGTTGAGAGGGCCTTCCGCAGCTGGCACCCTGAAACCCTGAAACCTTTCAGAACCTGCAAGAAACCAAGCCTTCAATGCTTTGCCAGGCCACCGTCCCAGGACGCCAGCAGGAGCAGCTTGTTTTTGGGGTCGCTTAGGGCTTACGTTTAGGGTCCTTGGCTTGTGCTCTCATAAAGTATTTCGGCTTTGCTGGATTTGGGGGAGGAGGGCTTTTCATCGGGGGGTTTTCATGCTCCTGAAGATGTAAGCAGCATCGCTGGCGATATCTGTTTCCCAGAATTTGCGCAGGAAGTCGCAGACGACAAAAGCCCCCTCAGATGGTCAGATCGCCTCCTTCAATGCAACCCTATGTTCGGCCTACGCTCCAAACTTCCCTATTAGGGGGGGTGGGTTGGGGGCAGCTCGTTACTTTGTCCTTCTCTGGTTACATGGAAGATGAGGGCAGCAGGACCCCAAAATCCTCTTTTAAGGGGAACCGACCATTCGTGGAGTTGTGGAGGAGTGGCGTGCCCTGCTTCGTATCGACTGCCTCCTTGGTCCGAGCCCTACCACGCCGCAGCCTAGAGACATTTCAACAGAGAGCTTATGTAACTCCGTAAGCCTAAACCCTGAGCCTTAAATCCTAAACCCGAAACCCGAAGAAGCCTGAACCCGAAGAACCCTGAGCAGCTTGAACCGTGAAACCCTGAGCCACGGGTGGCCTCTTTCAGCATGGCTCTGGCCCAGCAGTACCCCCGGAATCCTTTTTCGTAGGCTTTAGGGTCTAAAGGGTTTAGGGTGCATGGTTCTGGCATGCCCAGCAGTACGGCGTCAGGATCCCTTATGCAAACCCTCAGAGAGAAAGGCAGCCCCGTCGATTCTAAGTTCTAAGTGTTGCCCGAATGAAGACCACCAGCCCCGAAGCCAACACAAAACACAAACCTGGAAGCTGAAGCCCAAGCTCCTCAGGCCCTGAGGCCTTGAACCTCAAACCCGGGAACTCTGCAGCCCTACGGCCCAGAACTCCGAAAGACTGCAACACCGAGTTTTCAAAGGCGTCTTAAAGGAACATTGCACATTGGGGGCCCCCCTGAGCTGATCTCTGAAACCCTGAGCCTCCAAAACCCTGAACTCAAAATCTCTAGAACTCCGAAACCCTGAACACCTCTACCACGCCACAGGAAACCTCTCAAACCCTGAGCCCAAAACCCTAAAAACAACCCTAAACCCGACGAGTCCCTGAGGCGCTCTGGGAGTAGATGTAGCTCGGCCGGCAATGGGGAGGGGCTGGCGTTTTGGGTTTCTGGTTTTAGGGTTCTAAGGTTTATAAGGTGTAGGGTTGAGGGATTAGGGCTCAGGGAGTTTGGGTTTTTGGGCTTGGGGGCTTCTTGGGTTAGGCGCTTTAGGGCTGGGGGTGACACGGCCAATTCGGATTGGTGGAATTGGTATAGTATTGTTTCATAGGCTTGATAGTAGGTTGTTTCTTATGTGGGTTCTTTATCCTCCCCCCCCCCCCCCCTAAAGAAACTCTGTGCCCCAAGCCCTCATAATATAAGGACTATGTTCCTATTTTCCATATTCCAGAGGGCCCGTAGACCCCAAACCCCTTGATAAGGTTTGGAATTTAGGTTTTTTAGGATGTAGGATTTCGGGTTTAGGATATAGGATTTATGATTGACACAGAAACGGAAGGCTGATGGTTCTTTTTTCGTGTTTTTTTCTGGTTTTTTTCGTGTTTTTTTATGGTTCAGGTGAACCCTAAACCCTAAACCCTAAACCCTAAACCCTAAACCCTAAACCCTAACCCTAAACCCTAAAAACCCTAAAAACCCCTAAAAACCCTAAAAACCCTAAAAACCCTAAAAACCCTAAAATCCCTAAAAACCCTAAAAACCCTAAAAACCCTAAACCCTAAACCCTAAACCCTAACCCTAACCCTAAACCCTAAACCCTAAACCCAAGACCATGAAAATACGAAAAAAAAAAAAAAAAAAAAAAAAAAAACAGAAAAAACACGAAAAAAAAACCTGGACCCGAAACGGAAGGCCTCACAGAACCACCCCCATTTGGGGGCTTAAGTCAGAGAAGCCTTGCATTTGCAGCAGGCCGTGGCCTAAACATTGTATGGGGTTCAGGCGGCTAGAGCGCACACCACAAACACGTCCCGCGTGGTGGTGTGCGCAGAGCATGTGACGCACCCTAGGCCAGGCCCTATAGCCCTACACCCTCAACTCTACCCCCTTGAAACCTGTACCAAGGACACAACCAAGGCGCTTGAGCCGCTCAGCTGAGCCACTGCCTGCGGGCTCTCAGGGCTTGTGAGGGGGCCCTGCAGGTGCCTGAGCCCCAACCCCCCTCAACCCCAAAGCGTTTAGCCTCAGAGCCTAAAACCCTAAGACTCTGAACCCGATACCTCTAAAACCCTATACGCTGAAGTCCCGAAGCTTTGAATCCCTAAACGGTCCTGAACACCTAAACCCTTTAACTGTAAGCCCCTGAAGCCTGAGGCTACGCAGAAACGCAGCCCAGCCACAGTGTATGAAACCCTGAAACCCCAAACCCTAAAACCAACCACAGTTCAGGAGTTTAGGGCGCATGTCCCTGGACTTGACGGTTCTGGGCTTTCTTGGGATGAGCTGATGCAGCGCTAGCACTGCTAGGAGAACTATAGGTTCAAGTGCTCTGGAGCTGATTCTGAAAGCCTTGGTACGAGGGCTTGGGGATTTAGGGTGTTGGGTTTGGGTTTAGGGTTTACGGTTTAGGGTTTAGGGTCGCCGAAGCGGGATGAGTCTATGGCTGGAGTCACAGCAGCTGATTCTTTTCAGGGGACAAAGCACAAATGTCTCTGGCCGTTCTGTCTGTAGCATCGTGCTGTATTCTGCTACTTGGGTTAACTTTTGGAAGTGCTGGATAGCGTTTCAGCTTGAGCATCCTGTACTGGCTCACACCAACACTTGCAGTCACATACTTTGCCAAGGAGCTTCTGCTGTACACGCGCTCCCCCTACTGCGATTCGCAGTACCTCAGCCTTTAACAGACTAATTCAGAACTCATCTCGGCATCTCAGCTCCTGTTGTGTGCAGTCTACGCTACGTTCACTTCCCTTATCGCATGCCTTCTGGCAATGGCGCAGGACGCACCATTTGAAGGATGGCTCGACTGATTTCGAGCTCAGTCCTTCCCCTCCATTCAGCTTCCAAGTATCTTTGAGCTCCTTCGCCTCGAAAGCTGTCGTCGAGTACATACTGGCGTGCCATTTCGGTGATGAAAGATCTCCTACGACCAGTGACTGCACGGATGTCAAGGCCATCTGGAAGCCTCGTCTGCGTAGGTGTGAATAGTCGCACACGCGTAGCTGCATGCCACCGTATGAGAACATTTCTGTTCCAGTCTATTTGATAAAAATCTCTACGGTACTCTACGGGAAGCACTTGATGCAAAGCAGATGCTAGGCCGCCCCAAGTTGAGGAAGCCCTTTGGATCTCCCTCAGCGGTGGCTGGTTGCGCGGAGGTCCTAAACCAGGATGGATAACAATAGGAGGGTCTGGTGGCAAACCCATCCGCTGCTCCTCCCGTTGACCTCTCAAGACTTCCTCACGAGCCCTTTCGAAGTCCAAAACTCGGACTTCCCGAACTGGAGCTGGGGGGATTTCAGTTGGGGCAGGCGGATTGCCGGTGGCTCTACGATTCAGTTCCTCCTGAACAATACGGTCTATGTGTTCCGCCGGTGCAGCTACAAGAAGGTCATCTAGATATTGCGTTGCAATATGGCTCTGAGGACCTGGGTTCATCGCCGGCGATGCAGGCAGCGGAGGCTCCAACTCTGGCTCTGCTACATAAATCCTGGCTCCTCTTCTACGCAAGCCCTCTTCATAGTCCTGCTGCTGCTGTTCTTCCCTCTCTCTCTCCCTCACTCCTTCCCTCTCTCTTTCAATCTCTTGCAGGGCCAGTTGCAGGGGAGTTTGCTCTTCAAGCTCATCTTCACTATCGGGCTGTCTTTCTGGCAGTCTCTCATCGCTCTCTTCCGACACTCTGACAGGACGCCTCTGCGCCCCATACCTAAGACAGCATCGCACAAACGCTTTCCCTGCTTCCCACAAGGCAATGGAGGTTACTGCCACCAAACAGATTAGCACCCACAACGCGGCATCTCCCTCTGAGTTCGCAGCCGGCGTCGGTTGGGCACTTGCACTACACAAACAGCATGCCACTATCACCGCTTGCAAGTAGCGCTTCGACTCTGACGCATTCTCTACTTTGTGCTCAGTGCTCACATGCGCCAGCTTAGTCTGCCCACGCGGTATGTGCAATCCCATCAAATCACACAGTTTCCAGTGACGTGCTGCCCCCAAGGCTTTGGTGCCTGAGTCAGCCGGGTTGAATTCCCCGGCTATATGATTTGCCGGAAGATCACCCTCCATGTATCGCTCAGCAAAAGCCTTAGCTCTGATTTTTAGATGCCTGGTTCTCCAGCTAGCACTTGTACCACCGTACAAGGCCAGCGCCGCTACATTGTCGCCCAGCAACTCCTTGCAAGAGCGCCGCTGCAGCAACTCGTCAAATACATAAGAGCTACTGATGGTGTAGTTAGCTAACTCCATCAAAGCTATCATTTCCGCTTCACAAGAACTTTGAGCCATGAAAGCCTGTCTTGCGCACGACCATCCGGTAAGCGCCCCTTCGGTATGCACCTGGACGCATTGCATCGATCTCTTGGCCTCTGGAGCAAATGACGCGTCCCCATATCCTTCAAGAAGCCCCTCCATAGCGGTGGACTTCTTATACTGCTTCCACACTTCTCGCTCATCACGTGGATAAATCAACACACACTCTGCGCTTGCCACTAGATAGGCCAGCGCGTGAAGTGCAGATCTGTAGGTTCCTACAGGAGCTCGTGTGATTGCAGCAGCTAATTTTGAAACCGAGAAAGTAATGTCTGGTCTCGTTCGGATACTTGCCCAAAGCATTTCTCCCACTATGGTTTGACATCGTCTAACGTCTTCAACGTCGCTTGACTCTTCGCGGGCGTCGTCGTCGAAGGCATTTGGCAACGGAGTCGTTGGTTTTCCTAACCCATCAAGCTGCGATTTGTATCGTTGCTCCAGTTCTCGAATGTATGAGGCCTGAGACAAAACCAAGTCACGATTGTCATTCCAGC